TAGTTTTGGGTTCATGGACCAATTGAAAGAAATCAATGGGTACTTCTAGAGGTTTTTGGATAACGCATTGAGGAACACTAATCTATGACAATGATTTTTTTTTTTTTTAACACCAATTCATGAACTGTAAGCTTCTTTTGAGGGCTGAACTGGTGGAGTTCTACTGTACCCTCCTGCTCTTTGCTTCAACCGGAGAAGCTTCTGCTTATCTTTTTGTGTTGAGTTTTATAGCTAAAACTGCTTGAAAATCATTGGTTAAGGAGAGAAGCATTAAGCACTTGAATTAGGACTGTCTGTCCATGAAGAAAAGTTTATCATCCATAAACATATTGCAGTCACTCATCACTTAACACCTTCGTTTAGTCTTACTTCTTTTGACACACAGATTGCTGTTATCTGCAGATAGCTAGAGTAAGCTTCTTAAAAGGAAAACTCATTTGTAAATAAAAAAGGTAGATGATTAGGAATAAGGATAGAGTTGTCAGTTGAATTTAAGGGAATGAGTAATCAGAGTAACCATAGTAGTGTGTGAGCATGGGTTTGAAAATTTTTTTGTTCCCAATGGTGATTGATGGTTGTACTAAGTGGTCAGTGGGTGACACATATTGGAAAATTGGAAATGATTATGTTTGTAGTTCTAGCTAGGCATTGATGAACCAAGGTTTAAAATAAGGGGAAATTAGTACTTTTTTTTGAAGGTTTAGGAAGGATTTATTTTAGTATAACAGGATAAGAGTAGGGAGAAATTTAAAAAAGAGGAAGAAGCAGGCTACTAGTGGCTCACGCCTGTAATCCCAGCTACTCAGGAGGCAGAGATCAGGAGGATCGAGGCTCAAAGCCAGCCCAAGCAAATAGTTCCCCAGACCCTATCTCAAAAAAATTCTTCATAAAAAAAGGGCTGGTGGAGTGGCTCAAGGTATAGGCTCTGAGTTCAAGCTATACTTCTAGGCAGGCACTCTACCGCTTGAGCCACTCCACCAGCCCTCAAGCTATACTTCTAATATATTACAGTATTCTAGTTAAAAATATTGTAGAGTATCTATTAAAGAACTAAACAAAATCCTGCTTTTGAGAAGTTCTAGTTTGTGGCAACTTTGTACTAGCAGCCTAGAATGTAGGACGTATGAATCCCTGTTGTTTAGTTAGAGAAACTGAGGTCTAAGAGATTGAATATCATGACTTAGTACAATTACATGATAGCAAGTGTCAAGGTTTTTCTTTTTTAACTTTTTATTTTGAATTAACTTTAGATTTATGGAGAGTTGTAAAGATATAGTAAGTGGCAGGGAGCTTTAAACACAGACTTGTGTCACTCCAAACCTATATTCTTTTCTCTGTTTCAAAAACAATGAGTGTTATGTTAAGGAAATAAAGAAAATGCTGCAGTGCCAGGAGGAAGAAGCTATTTTAGATAATGTGGCTTAGTTATCATTACACTCCATTGATTACAGTCAAAATGCTTTTTATTGTAGCAGCAGAAACAGCCCATACTCTCTTAAGGAGCAGGAGCAACAACAGATGTATTGCACAACTAAAAACAGCTGGAAGATACTAGAGGGACAGAAGGTAGGGCTCAAGCAGTAGGAGAACCTGCTTTGCAAGCACAAAGCTCTGAGTTCAAGCTCAGTCCCACCCCCCATACCCCCCAAAAAAAAGAGTGAAGGGGCTAATCTGAAACAGTTTTGTGAAGCAGATGAGGCCTGAGTAACAATTTTTAGAAAGATAGGCCATAATTTTTATATAAAGAGGAATGAATGTTCTAAGGGAGCAGATTGATCAGGGGTCCATCATCACAGGAAGGATGTTGTGAGATAATTAGAATGTGCAAATAGTTTTGCTAAAATATAGTATTGAGTGATTTAAGACTAAGCTAATCTTTTCTGTCCCATCTCTCTTCTGTCATTCATGGCAAAAATTGAGTCGTCTTTATATTCAGCTTAACTGCAGTTGGTAATTTTGCCTTTCCTAGTAGTTTCATGAAGATTAGATGAGAAAATATGTAAAAACATGCTTTGTAAAGTAGAAAGTACTCTACTAGGCCATCCATCTAACAAATACTTATTATTTTTCCTCTTTGCTGACTTTGATACAAAGGAGCTCAGTGAAGTCAGAAGGAAGTGTTATTTACCATTTGTGTAATTTTGTGAAGTCAGAGAGCAGCAAGTTGGAAATGTCTTGGGAAACTTACTTAGTTAAGTTATTCATATGGCACTTTTAAATTAGCTGTTGCTTCATCTTTACCATGGTTTCCGGGACTGGCCACTACTTTTCTGTGGAGAAAACTAAATTTTGTCTTTGTACCTGAATTCACAAAGCTCACAAAAGTTACATATATAAACCAGGACATTAGTTTATTGAGATTTGGTTAGGACAGTGGGGAAGTTTATTTTTGTACACAGGCTGGACTACTCGTGTATATTAAGACTACCTGTTTGTTATATCAGAGAATCCAATTTTTTTTTTTTTTTTTCTGTACTAGGGATTGAACTCAGGGCCTCACACTTGCTAGGCAGGTACTTTATCACTTACCTCATAAAAGAGATGACCTTTCTGGTGATTAGAACACTTGTGTTTAAGAGAAGTGTCTTTGATAGTGCTAGATAAATATTGTCAAATTTTTGTTTTATAGGTTTGCCACTTAGTGAATGCAAATTCATTTTCCTTCAGTTGGCAGTCTTTATTCTCTAGGAGCCTGGCTTCTGGTGCCTACAGCAGCTTCATTTCTTGGGCACATTACTTTCATTCCTCAATTCGACATTGGTAAAATAGGGATAAAAATACCTCATTGGATCCATGGGGCATTTATTTAACTCAAAAAGCATTTAGAACAGTGCTTGGGACATAGTAAAAACTCAAATATTATCTTGTATTATTTCTTCTAGGAGGTTTATGTTGGGTCAGGCTCATGTATTTGAGAGGATAAAAGACTAACAGGTTTAGATGTTCTATGCATTTCAATCTCTAGGATTATATCTTTATATAAAGTTTATGCAGTTATCTGTATCATCTAGATCTTTTGTTGGTGGTGGTAATAGAAGAAACAAAACAGGTAAGTTTGGGTTCTGTGAATTCTCTGCCCCCTATCTTTTATGGTACCGGGGAATTAAACCTAGGACCTCACATGTGATAAGCACATGCTCTACCACAGGCCTATCCCCCAGCCTCTCCCTCTTTACTTTTATTACACATGTGCTTATCCATAAATAAAAAGTGTATTATCTTTTCTACTTTACATGTGTCTTTTTGCAACTTTTTCATTGAAGAAGATTTACTTGAAATAATCCACAGAGGGTAACTTTGACCACATGTTCTGTTTATACCTTTTTAAAAATATGACTTGCTTCATGAATTTGTGTGTCATCCTTATACAGGGCTGTGCTAATTTTCTTTGTATTGTTCCAATTTTAGTGTACATGCTGCTGAAGTGAGTACTTTTTTTTTTTCTTTGAAAATGAGGTTGGGATCTAACTGTTGCCCAGGCTGATCTTGAACTTCCTAGCTCAAGTGAGCCTTATGCCTCACACTCCTAAGTAGTTGAGACTATAAGAATGTCCCAGGGTGCCTAGCTTAGGCTTTCTTTTTATTATTTTATATTTTTGACAGTGCTGGAGACTGAACTCATGGTCTTGTGCATGCCAAGCAGGGGCTGTACCACTGAGGTACTTCCCCAGTTCATACTCTTCTTTTATGGGAGATCAAATCCAGGTCCTTGAATATGCTAGGCAAGTGCTCTATCTCTGAGATACATTTCCAACCCACTATATATTCTTTCTTTTCTTTTCTTTCAAAGCAAACACTCTACCACTTGAGCCACACCCCCAATCCATTTTGCTCTGGTTAATTTGGAGGTGTGGTCTCAAGAACTGTTTGCTTGGGCTGGCCTTGAACCTCAGTCCTCCCCATCTAATCCTCCCAAGTAGTTATCAGCACCTGGCTGTATTCCTTATTCTTTCTTTATGGTGGTGTTTTTTGTTGTTGTTTTGTTTGTTTGTTTGTTTTGCGGCACTGGGGTTTGAACTCAGGGTCCAGAGCCTCACACTTGCTAGGCAGGCACTCTACCACTTGAGTCTTGTCTTAGAATTTAAAGTTAATGACATAATACATAATAAACTGGTAAGTACGTTTATTATATACCTACCATAGGAGAGAAATTAGGCTTATTTTAAGATATAAGGCTAAATGGAATAGGAACACAAATACTCATTCTTCCCTATGTACCTTATGTTTACTATCCCTTTCTTTTCTTCCTAGACCCTTACAGCCTTCATTGTCTAAATTCCCAGGAAGTTTTTCTTACATTTTCCACTTCTATTCTAACCCATTGACTTCCCATTGTGCTTCCTGGTATTTACATGCTCTCTGAAGTTTTGTTGTTGTTTTGTTTTTGTTTGGAGACAGGATATCTTCCCCCCCAACCCCCTGTGTAGCCCAAGCTGGCTGAGTTTCTAATATGTGAATCCTTTCTCTGATTATATCAGAAGTCATAAACTCAAAACCTACTGGTACCAGGCGTCTCATGGAAATAAGGGATATTGGGTGGGTATCCTGGAGAGTGCATGCTATCACCAAAGGGGGCAAGAGCTATTAAGCTCCAGCTTATTGATGCCATAATTACATTTGTTTAATCATCAGTTTTTTTTTCCCATGACAAGCCTGTATGATCCTTTTTTTTTTTTTTGCTATATCCCTGTTTTGTTTTGATTTATATTTTATTTATATGTTTATTTGGTACTGGATATTTTTGGTTCAGGACCTCACACATGATAAACATTCAGTTTATCATTGAGCTACACCTCCAGCCTCTCCCTATTTTAAGTGTTATCAGTTTGTAAATGGTTCTCTGTAGAGACACATGTGTATATGTGTGTATCATGTGAGCTCTTCCCTTTTGTAGCATCTGAATTAGATGATAAATTCCATCAAGAATCTTCTTGGCTTGCTTTTGTTAGAATTAATCTGGTGTAATTTTATTTTTTAAAAAAAGTGCTACCAATAAATGAATAATTTTATTTTCAAATTAGAATTTACTTCTTAAGTAAGATCATTCTGTGTTTAAAAAAAGCGAGTGAGGTGATTGTTGTTAACTAGAAAATGTGTTTCAGATCCTGTATTAGGGTTGTGGCTTGTAAACAAATGATACTGCCCCTACCTTTTGTAAGTTCATCGTGAATGGGGTGAAGTTGAGTTACTTTGGAAGCAGACTGAATTGGTCATAGTCCTGCAGAAGTTTTATTAGGAAATGCTCTTGGGATTGCTACCTGTGGAAGAAGAGGAAAGGAAGCAGGAGTGGGATAAGGGAGAGAAATTGAACTGTGATTTTAGTTAATTAATTAATTTAGTGCTGCGGGGATGGAACCCAGGGCCTTATAAATGCTAGGCAAGTACTCTACCACTGAGCCATAACTCCAGCTCATGATGTTTGTTCTCTTAATGAAGGTGTCAACAGTCCCAAGGAGAGAATACAAAGCCTGGACTTGAGTGAAAGAGTCATTAGTGGAGGCAGTTCTGAAAAGGACTGACAGCTAAGAGCTGTCTTCTAGTAGCACTTTTCAGCAGATGGTACAACAAATCCTCTAGCCCTGTAAGTTCCACAAAGCTAGTGTTTCATAGTGTCCAGTATGAGAGGAGGGTCAAGATAGATACATGAAAATAAATCATAATGTGCTATGGAAGCCCAGAGGAATGACTGCTTTCTAGAGAGAAGTTAGAGAAGACTTAAAGAAATAGAACACTTCAACTAGGTTTTTGAAGAGTGAATTAGGAGATTGTTTGGCAGGGACAAGAGTAGAGAGGGCAGTTTTTATTGAATCAGTGACATTTATGTAACAGTATGGAAAATGAATAATTTGAAGAATAAAGGTTAAATGCATTGGCCATGCTTTCATTTCTACCTGTTACAATAAAGATCATGAGATTTTTCTCCAAAGTCTTGATTTTCTTTATCAAGGATAATTTTAGGAAAATAATTTCCCTAGTATGAGAAACGAGACTAAGCCAAGTTCATCCTTGCCAGAAGTAAAAAGATGGGGGCCTGGCTTCATTTGAGCCTTTTCAAAACACAAATATCTATGTCCCAACCCGGACATTTTGGTTCAGTATTTCTACAGTAAGACTTGGGGTGGCGGGGAGTGGGGTGGGCGCTGTGGCTCATGCCTGTAATCCTAGCTACTCAGGATGGTCATGGTTTAAAACCAGCCTGGGCAAATAGTTCACCAGACCCTATCTCGAAAAAGCCATCACAAAAAAGGGCTGGTGGAGTGACTCAAGGTATAGACCCTGGGTTCAAACCCTAGTATTGCAAAAAAAAAAAAAAAAAAAAATCCAAAAAAACCCTGGAGGGAGGGGGTTGTATTTTGAAACTTTTGTCAGTTAATTCTACGTTAATTCTGTTGTGACCCACCAAAACTACTAGTAGGATTACGTGAGCTTTGTTTAATCAAATTACTCAATTCCTTGATGTTGGGATAAAGAACTAAGTGTTGAAATTTTTTTCCCCAGGAATTTTAGAGAGAATGTTTGCAACACTACAGTTTGAATTCAGGGCCTTATGCTTGCTAGGCAGGCACGCTACCATTTGAGCCACTCTACCAGCCCTTTTTTGTGTTGGGTATTTTCGCGATCGGGTCTTGTGAATTAATTTGCCTGGGCTGGCTTTGAACCGTGATCTTCCTGATCTCTGCCTCCTGAGTAGCTAGAATTATAGGTGTGAGCCACTGGCACCTAGCAAGAGAATGTCAATTTTTATGAAACACCACAAATTTAAGGGACAGCCCCATCTCTTCCGATGAGCACAAGATATTCAGGCGTTGTAATACCTAGAAATGGTAATGTGACTCTAGAACATTATGGGAAGCACCTCAAAATGTAACACTTAATTCTAGTCTACGAATAAGGCATAGTTTTCCTAAAAGAAAAGACTGTTCCATTATGTGCATTATATATTTATAATAGAAAAGTCATCATACTTGTCAGAAAAATTCAAATAAGCATAATTGACGGAGGGGGGTGGGGGCAGGGGGAGAAATGAACCAAGCCTTGTATGCACATATGAATAATAAAAGAAAAGGGGAAAAAAAAAGCATAATTGACTTTTCAAGTTTTACATTACAAAAGAACTTCACTCTTTTTCTTTTTTGCTAGCAAGTAAATGGTAACAGGCATCTTAAGTTTAAGGAAAATTTACGGAGGGAGAAAGTGCTTAGTTTTGTATAAACTAAACTTGCTTTTAAACTTCAGGTTGTAATTATTGGAACAGTTTGGTCCAGTTCATTAAGAAGCAAGGTCATAGTTTGGATAGGAGAGGAAAATCACTTGTACGAAGTGAGAGGTTTTGTGTTTTTGTTTTATTTTTGGTGGGGCTGTGCTTTGAGCTATTCAGCCAGCCCTATAATTATTTTTTTTGTCAGCACTGGAGTTTGAACTCAGGGCTTCATACTTGTTAGGCAGGCACTCCATTGTTTGAGCCATTCAGCCAGCCCGGGGCTGTGCTTTGAATTCAGGGCTTCACACTGGACAGGCAGGTGTTCCAGCCCTTTATTTTTGTATTTTTTGGTGGGACTGGGGTTAGAATTCATGGCTTCTTACTTGCAGAGCAGGCACTCTACTACTTGAGCCACATTTCCAGTCCGTTTTGCTTTTGGTCTGATTATATTTTGGAGATAGGGTCTTGCCTGGGCTGGCTTCAGAATGCGATCCTTCTATCTTAGCTTCCCAAGGGTTACAGGCATGAGGCACTGGCACCCAGCTGAGAGTGTTTTTTTGTTTTCTTTTTTTAGGTGCTGGGGATTGAATCCAGGGTCTTGTGAATGGTAGGCAAGCACTTCATTACTGAGCTACATCTTCAGGTTTTCTGTAATATTCTCAGAAGTAGAAGAAGATTGATAAATAGAGGGCCACAGACAATAGTTGGTTTTTTTTTTTTTTTTTTTTTTTTGTGGTACTGGGGCTTGAACTCAGGGCCTTCACCTTGAGCTACTCTGCCAGCCCTGTTTTTGTGAAGGGTTTTTTTCGAGATAGGATCGTGTGAACTGTTTGCCCAGGCTGGCTTTGAACCATGATCCTCCTGATCTCTGCCTCCTGAGTAGCTAGGATTATAGGCGTGAGCCACTGGTGCCTAATGACAATAGTCTGAAAAAGTAATCTCAGAATGTCAGTGCACAAAATTTCTTGGATTTGCAGATGGGATGCATAATTTGGCAAACATTTATTATTATAATATTTTAATACCAAAAAGTATAGGAAACTTTTTTTTATGCAAAGTGTAGAAAAAAATGGACAAAAGTTTTAGCTTTTCAGGTAGTTAGAGGTTTTTTTTTCATGGGACTGGGGTTTGGACTTGGGGCTTCATGCTTGCAAAACAGTCACTTTACCACTTGAGCCACTTCTCCAAGTCAGCTTTTCAGGTAGTTGGGATAGCGTAGTATAGTTGTAGTTTTTGCATAAACTCCTTTGAAATGTCAAAATTTAGCCTACTAAACTTGAAGTCATTATTAAAGGGAGGGTTGAGCTTAAAAAAACAAATGTTGAGGGCTAGGGGTATAGCTCAGTGATAGAGTACTCACCTAGTACTCAAGTAATTCTATGTTCAATCCCTGGCAATACAAAAAAAGTTGAGAAACATTGTTTTGAAGGGATAGTTGTTGGTAGGATCTGAAATTTAATCTCATGTTATGGTACCTTTCACCTCAAGAATAGTGTACATTAAAGACCATTTTATAAAGGTTTTTAAATCATGTAGAGTTTTAGGATGTTGAATAAGAGTATATTCTGTAGTTTGCATAGGCCTAACTAAATTTGAAGAATGATAGATTTCTTAAAATAATTACATTAAAAAGTGATAATTTGTTCTTCTTTCTAGCTTTCTGAAGCAAAGACTCATTTTGAAGATGTTTAATAAATCATTTGGAACCCCCTTTGGGGGTGGCACAGGTGGCTTTGGCACAACATCAACATTTGGACAAAGTAAGTGTTTAAAAAGAGTAAAAGATATGAAAGACAGTCTGGAGTGGCTCAAATGGTAGAGTGCCTAGCAAGCATGAGGTCCTCAGTTGAAACCCCAGTACTCGGAGGAAAAAAAAAAACATAAAAGAAGACTTCTTAATTAGCCCTTTTTTCTTTCTCTCTTTCCTTCCTCCCTCCTTCCCTCCCCTCCCCCTTTCAATAGGGTCATGCTGTGTAGCCCAGGCTGGCCTCAGCCTCCTGGGTGCTGTCATTACAAGAGTGTGCCATTACACCCAACTTAGCCTGGCCTTACTAAGAATAAATCCAGCGGAGCTTGTTAGCTCACACCTGTGGTCACAACATTCAGGTGTTTGAGGCAGGAGGATAGTGAGTTTGAGGCCAGTCTGGGCTATATAGCTAGTGAGACCTTTGTGTGTCTCAAAAAAAAATAAAGGAAAGAAAAATGAAAAAAAAAAAAACCACATCCACTCTGATAAATTTAGATGGTAATTTTTTTTCATGCTTTGGCTTTTCTAACAGTCTCATTGAAAAATGATGAGGATCTTGTCAAAATTTTGTATGAAAATAAAATACAAGTTTTCATAGCTTTCTGATATTCAATAGAAAATATTTAAAATATGTATATTATTCGGTTCTTTTAGTGGAAAGTTATAACTTATTACTGATTTTCAGGCCAGAGAATTTTTTTAAATGTTGAAGTTTAAAATGAAATAACTGAGTAAATTCATTTGCTCTGTAAACATAATCTGAAATCAATTTTAAAATGGTAAGCCCCCTACTTACAATGAGCCCTCCTGAGAGTCCCCCATCCTTCCCACCTAGTATTATTATGTGTGACAACAGTTGCCTGTGGGATTCCTTACTCACTTTTTTAAAATTTTATTTTATTATTCATATGTGCATACAAGGCTTGGGTCATTTCTCCCCCCTGTCCCCACCCCCTCCCTTACCACCCACTCTGCCCCCTCCCTCTCCCCCCCACCCCCATACCCAGCAGAAATAGTTTCCCATACCCAGCAGAAACTATTTTGCCCTTATCTCTAATTTTGTTGAAGAGAGAGTATAAGCAATAATAGGAAGGAACAAGGGTTTTTGCTGGTTGAGATAAGGATAGCTATACAGGGAGTTGACTCACATTAATTTCCTGTGCGTGTGTGTTACCTTCTAACCTTTTCTCTAGTTCCTGGTCCCCTTTTCCTATTGGCTTCTCCTTACTCACTTTAAAAAAAAAAATTATTTTTATTGCTTTTAAACAGTCTTACTATGTAGTTCAGGCTGGCCTGAACTTCTCAGTCCTCCTGCCTAGCATCTGAGTGCTTGGATTATAAGTGTATGTCACTACACTTCTGCCTTACTCACTTTTAAACCTTTGTTAAAATTGTTACACTTAAAAAGAAGATTGTATTGCGCTCTCTCACTCTCTCTCTTTTTTTTTTTTTTTTTTTGTGTGGTACTATGGTTCAAGTCAGGTCTCTTTGCACTTTCAAGGCCTGCACTGTACTGCTTGAGCCACACCTCTACCCTGAAATGAACTCTTGTGTACTGTCTCCCAGTGTCACTAAATCAGCCTTTAACCTTTCAATATCTATAATATTAATTTATTTATTTTTGAGATGGGATTTCATTATGTTGCCCAATCCGGTCTTGAACTCCTGGGCTTAAGCCATCCTCCTTGCCTTAGCCTCCATAGTTTACTGGGAGTAGTTGGGATTTCAGGCATGTACTACTTGCTTGAAAAAGTTAGGCTTTTTTTTTTTTTCCTTTTTTGGCTGTACTAGAGATCAAATCCTCAGTCTCCAGATATGTTTAAGTGTCCTTATTTTCCTTGAGGACAGTAAAACAGCTGTGGTATAATTTTTATGTTATAGTCTGATGAAAGTTTGAGGAAGTTTTCACATTGGACTATTGGTTCTATTCAAATGAATGAATGTTAAAAGAAATACTAAACCCTTTTCATTCAGTCACTTAATTTACATTTTATTTTAAATTCTAATTTACCCCGGATTTTGCTTTTTCAGATACTGGCTTTGGTACCACTAGTGGAGGGGCATTTGGAACATCTGCATTTGGTTCTAGCAATACTACTGGAGGCTTATTTGGAAACTCACAGGCCAAACCAGGTAGGAGCTTTATTTGGAATATGAGTTTATTTTTGTAGTACCTAGTTGATTGACTCTAATCTCTTTAACCTTTCGCCCCACTCTCCTTCTGTCTCCCCAGGAGGATTATTCGGTACCAATTCATTTAGCCAGCCAGCTACTTCCACAAGCACTGGTTTTGGGTTTGGTACATCAACAGGAACATCAAATAGCTTGTTTGGAACTGCAAGCACAGGGACCAGTCTTTTCTCTTCCCAAAACAATGCATTTGCACAAAATAAACCAGCTGGCTTTGGGAGTAAGTAGTCATCAGTGGACTTGTGTATCTGACAATTGGATTTGCTTACTTGATAGATTTTCTTTTCCCTTTTCCCTGTTCATTCACCTTCTTTTTCCACCAAATGGCAAAAATATAGAAATATGAGAATTTCAAAATGTGTCAAGAAGTTTAATGGGGTGTAATCCTTAAAGATTGAGATTTGAGAAGCTCTAGCATTTAAGGGATATAGAGGGGAAGAGATGTGTGCTATAGAATGGCCAGAGAACCCAGGCATTGGTGGCTTATGCCTATAATCCTTGCAATTTGGGAGGCTGAGATTGGGAGGATTGCTGTTCCAGGCCTGCCCAGGCACTAGTTCTTGAGAACCACATCTCCAGAAAACAGCCATAGTAAAATGAAATTGAGGTGTGGCTCAAGCAGTAGAACACCTCTTTTGCAAGCACCTGAGTTCAAGCCCCAGTTCCTAAAAAAAAGAAAGAAAGAAAGAAAGAAAAAAAGAAAAGAATTGCCAGAGAGAATGAAAAGCCAGGTCAGAGTAGAGTCCTTGACATAATGTATTGGAATCAATAGCATTGTGCTATAGAGGCACCTTCTTGCCTCTGTTTCACATTTGATATAATAAGCAAGAATGACAGTACTGTACATGACATGATTGCTCATCCATTCCTTATCCATGGCAGATGTTTTGAACTAACGTTCCCTCTTTTTTTTTGGTGGCACGTAAGATTGAATTCAGTGCCTCATGCTTGGTAGGCAAGCACTGTACCACTTGAGCCACTCCCCCAGTGGTGGCCTCTTTTTCTTTTAGTCCAAATGTGTCTTGGGCTTGCTTCTCCACACAGGTGCTATAAGGCAAGCAGGTGTACTTTATGAGGTGATAGATTTCTGGTAAAAGAGCATTGTAGGCTAGGTAGTTAGCCAGCTATCAATATTTTTCAAAGGGAAGGTTGGTGGGATGTTGAAATACTTAACTATGCCAATATCAAATGCAATCTAAGGTGCTTATCCAAAAGAAATATGCCTACTGACTTCAAGCTATATTTTAGAGTTAGGGTTAGTTATTAATAATAGCACTGTGCCAATGAGAAATGATAAATCCTCTTAACTTGGTAACTAGGCTTTGTTGCTTACTGTCATTTCTGGTATCATACATATAACTTCTTTAGAAGAAGCATCTCATTTTGATAGTCCTTAGATAGCACTTAAGTTTATTTATATGTAGTAGTTTATAAACTTAGCTTTTTGAAAAAATAATCAGACAATCTGCTCTTTCCTTTTTTCTTTTTTTCTTTCTTTTCTTTCCTTCTTTCTTTCATACTGGAGCTTGAACTCAGGGCCTACAACTTGAGCCACTCACCAGCCTGTTTTTGTGATGGGTTTTTTTCAAGATAGGATCTCAAGAACTAATTGCCCAGGCTGGCTTCAGACCTTTATCCTCCTGATCACTGCCTCCTGAGTAGAGGATTATAGGCGTGAGCCATCAGTGCCTGGCTCTGCTGTTTATTTCTTTATTAGTTTCTATAAATAATCAACAATGCTACTAAGTTTTCTAAACTTTTTTGGAGGTATTAAATTTTACTTTAGCTTATGTTTGATTGTCCACAATGGGACCACTTAGATCTTCTAAATATTTTGATTATGATGGGTAAATTGAAATAATATGTAAATAAAACTGTGAGCCGTTTGAGTCTACTGTGACAAGATATTTTCTGAGAGAAAATTTCATTCAGTATCTGTTCTTACTAAATAAGAAAAGGGTGAAATAAGATGAAATTTGTTTCACAACAAAATAGTGTTTCTTTTAACTTGTCTTCTTAAAATACCCAAGGAGGTCATTATAAGCACTTAGCTGATTAAAGAATTCAGACTTTGTTTTTCTTGAAAGTTGTGAGCCTGGAAGTATGGGTGTCTATATGAAATACATCCTTGAATATATTTATTCAGGAGAATCAAAAGATAGAAGATTTGAGAATGTGAAAGTACTGTTGCCAGTGCCATAACCCACTTCTAAGATGTTTTATAGATTCTTATTTACTGTTTAGTTCTCATTTTCCTTTATAACTTACAGATTTTGGAACAAGTACTAGCAGTGGAGGACTCTTTGGAACTACAAATACCACCTCTAATCCTTTTGGTAGCACATCTGGTTCCCTCTTTGGGCCAAGTAGTTTTACAGCTGCTCCTACTGGGACTACCATTAAATTTAATGTATGTATTTTCTTATTTTCTTCCAGTCTTTGTGAAATGTGTTTGTTTTCCATTTGTTTGGTTTTTTTTTTGTTTGTTTGTTTGTTTGTTTTGTCAGTATCGGGGCTTGAACTCAGGGGTTCATGCTTACTAGGCAGTCACTCTACCACTTGAGTCACTCCACCAGCACTTTTCTGTGTTGTGTGGTTTTTTTTTTTTTTTAATCTTGAAAAGATAGAAAGACCCTATCTTGGGTCTCTCAAACTGTTTGCTAGGGCTGGCTTCAAACCATGATCCTCCTGATCTCTTCCTCCCGAGTAGTTAGGATTACAGGTGGGAGCCACTAGTACCCAGCTCCCACTTGTGTATTTCTTTGTGTGTAAATTATAAAATTGTTCCTCTTTGCAGTTATGCAGGCTTAATTTAACTCTTCCTGAAGGATGTGTTAAAAACAAAATATGCAAATACTTATTTAGTAGACAGGAAAAGTTGTGAAACATAAATCTAGATTATGATGTTATTTTAATTGTTTATAATAGCGCATATAAGGTAGCATTTTAATGTACTATGTTCATAATTGTCCCCTGAATGGCCAACCATTCTTTATAGAGAAGGGGCAAGCTAAAGAAAAATAATTGAAAATAAGGCTTCTTTAAGAGATATAGAGGGCTAAGTGTGGTGTCTCAAGCCTGTAATCCTAACTACTTAAGAGGAGGAGGTTGGGTTTGAGGCCAGTCCAGCTCACAAGACCCCACCTCAACCAATGGCTGAACATGATTGAGTTCACCTGTCATCCCAGCTGTGCAAGCACAAATTGGAGAACTGTGGTCCAGGCTGGCCCACGAATAAAGCAAGACCTTATCTCAAAAATAACTAACACAGAGAGTGTTGGTGAAGTGGCACCTGTCTAGCAAGCAGGAAGCTCTGAGTTTAGCCCCCTCAGTACTGCTGTGGCAGGGTGGAGAGTGGAATAATTTATCAGTGTGGTGCTGGCAATTGAATACAGGGTCTCACGCATGGGGCAATAAAGTTTTGTTTTCTTCCTTTCTTTTTTGAGAGTTTGGGTGTAGGATTTTGTTCAGAAAAATGTGGGATGCCTTGTGATGTAAATGATTAGGGGATGCTTAGAATAAGCTGGAGATGCAGAAATAAGGCATGGCAAAAACTCAGGGCTTTGTGTCTGCAAAACAGGTGCTTTATGGCTTGAGCCATTCTTCTGGTCCATTTTTACTCATGTTATTTTGGAGATGAGGCCTTGCAAACTATTTGCCTGGGTTGGCCTTGAATATCTAGTCTCCTCATCTTAGCCTCAGAAGTAGTTAGCATTTGCAGGCATGAGCCACCAGTCCCCGACTTCCATATGTCTTAAATGCACTAGCAGTTACCAAACAGATATTCTCAGACAGAACATGTGGTAACTTAGACATAAAGATTTAAATATAAAGTGAACTGGGTAAAGCTTTCCTTATGCATATAATACTGCTTGTATTGTAGCATACAATGGTTTGGAATGGATTAGTTCCTGGGTTTGTGATAAACTTTGTTACTAAGCAATTTATTCAGATAATATTGATGTGTAGGAAGATGAGAAATGCAATATATTTTCATCAAGCTCCCTTAAAACCATCTTGTATGTGTTTTTGCTTTGCTTTTGAGATGGGGTCTTGCTTTATTGCCCAGGCTGATCTTGAATTCCTGGGCTCAAGTGATTCTCCCATCTCAAACTCTCATTAGTTGGGGCTATATTGGAATACACCACAGCATTTGACCCCATCTTGTTACATAAGCTCTAGGGGCTAGTTCTAGAGTTAAATGATTGAGAAATTGTGTCTGTGAGAGGAGAAATATAATAGCATGGATTTGGAAATGTGCTTTTGTCTTATTTTGCAGCCTCCAACTGGTACAGATACTATGGTCAAAGCTGGAGTGAGCACTAACATCAGTACCAAACACCAGTGTATTACTGCTATGAAAGAATATGAAAGCAAGTCACTAGAGGTCAGTAAAATGCCATACAAAAAAATCTGACATTTTGATTATTTTTAGGATTAAGTGGTTGACATCGGGACTGGGTAAAAACCTTCCATTAACCAACTTGTTTTTTAAAATGGTGTATTATTTATAGATATCTCTTAGTGGTCTATTGTGGATGAATGTTATTTACATTACACTGGGCAATATGTGAGTGTATGTACGTACACATAGTGTTTTTAGTAAACTTGTATTAAGTGTATTGCTTAGTAAGTTTGCACCAAATGGAAGGATCCAAATTAAGAAACAGCATTACTAACATGCTACATGTTCCTCTGTGCCATACCTCACTTCACAGTCCTTTCCTTCCAGAGGTAACCACTGTTTTGACTGCCAGATTTTTGTTCATTTTTGAATTTTTAGGTGTTTGACTCTGTAACACTTGTGCCAGGCCTTCATCCCAGTTTTGAAGTTTATATAAGTGGAATCTTATGCTTATCCATTACATTTCATGAAGTTACTTTGTTCATTCTCATTGTTCTGTAGTATGTTGTACATTTTGACTGTCAGTACTAATTTTAGCAATTGCTTCTTATATCCAAAACTGTGCTTGCTATTCTGGAATGTTCAGAAATCTCTGACTTGTGAGACAAATTGTTAAGCTTTATTTCTTATTTCCTTAAATTTCCTGAACCCCTCCCAAATCCTCCATCTTTTATCAACTTGATTTTTGTATGTAGGGGCATTTTATAAAAGTATTTTTTTATTTGTAAAAAAAAATTAAGATATGGTTGGCTCTTTGGCCTGCAGTGTTACAGTAATTATGGCCTGGATTTTAATATCTATTGAAAATGTTTGATACTAAATAAGGGAAGTGTAATGATAATAATATCAATCTGTAGTTTTCTGTGTTTTAGTCATATTTGCTATGTGAACTTAGAACTTGAATACTAAATTCATGTATTTACTCTCCTAAGAGATTGTTTTGAGCTGCATATTAAGATTGGAAATATGTTTTCTCTACCTTTAGGAGCTTCGTTTAGAGGATTATCAGGCTAACCGGAAAGGTCCACAAAACCAGGTGGGAGCAGGTACCACGACTGGCTTGTTTGGATCTTCTCCAGCCACCTCCAGTGCAACAGGACTCTTCAGCTCCTCCACTACTAACTCAGGCTTTGCATATGGTCAGAACAAAACTGCATTTGGAACTAGTAAGCACTTTATTGGACCACATGAAGGAAAGATGGACAAGTAAAAGTAAAACATAATTGTCAATATGTGATTAAGTGCTATGGAGAAAAATAATTCAGAATACTGGAGAAACAGGGAGTGATACATATTGTACAAATGGGGAGAAATACAGGCCTAAATGAAGATGGTTAAGGAGGGCTTTATTTTTTATTTTGGCAGTGCTGGAGTTTGAACTCAGGGCCTCAAGACTTGCTAGGCAGATACTCTACCACTTGAGCCATTCCACCAGCCAGGGCTTTCCTTGAGAACATTCACCTATCCTAAAGGTGAAAGAGCAAGTTGTAAGATTTCTTGGGGTAAGTTTTTCAGCTAGCTGGAACTGAATTTTTGCCAAAGAGGTAAGGGCATGTGAGGAGGAGTATTCTGGGGAATATGAGGGTTATATTTCATAGAATTTTGCCAGGTCAGTATTAAGAGTTGAATCTTTATATGATTTGGTAAGCTACTAAGAACTGTTTGGAGGGCTGGGAACTGGACTTAAGCTGTAGAATGCCTGCCTAGCAAGTGCAAAGCCCTGAGTTTAAGCCTCAGTGCTACCAGAACATAAAGAGTTGTTTTAAAAGAGAAGTCATGGCTAGGGGAGTGGCTCAAGCAGTAAGAGTGCCTGCCTACCAAGTATGAGGCCCCAACTTCAAACCCCAGTGCTACCAAAAAAAAAAAAAAGTCTTAGGGTTGGGGAAGTGGCTCAAGTGGTAGAATACTTGTTTAGCAACTACGAAGCCTTGAGTTTAAACCCCAGTTCCATAGATAATAAATAAATAAATAAATAGGTCATGTGATTATGAGTGAATGATCATTCTGAAGACTACTGTATATATGATAGTAGACTGTAAAGTGGAAACAAATTAGTTCAAAAGCTATGTACCATCCATGTGAGAGATGAGAGTGGCTTGAACAGGATGATTTAAGAAAAGAACTCCTAGGTAGAGCATAAGCCTGGCATACATGAAGCCCTGGTTTCAATTCCTAGTACTTAAAAAAAAGATCCTACTAAATTCTGTACCCTATTTAATTGTGTGCCTTGGTGATTTCATGTGGGTTGTAAAATAAAGGAGTTCAGAATGATGGCTAAATTACTTTATAAAAATATTACTTTTGTAAAAGTAGTGCAAGTATATGGTACAAAGTTCACAAATACAAAAAAATTTATAACCAAAGATGTCTTCTTTCCTTTTACTCTTCCCTAGCCACCAGTTTGCCTCTGTGAGAACAAGCAAAAGTTACAGTTTTTTTGTCATAGCTTTCTAGAGAAATACATAGACAAATACATGTTTATCTAAGTGACATTTAACATTTTTTTCAGCCTTAGTGATCTCTGAGTTAGTGTAATGCACATAGTTCTTTGTTGTTTTTGTGTTTTTGAGACAGGGTCTCAGTAGGTAGCTCAGGCATTCACTTTGTCTTGCCTCATTCTCCTGATGCTGGGATTAGAAGTGTGCACCACTACTCCTGGCTTGGGTAGCACATATTTATTCTTCAGTACTATGTAGTAGACCTTATTCTGTATATATTGATGTAAAGAAAAAGCCTTGTACTTAAGAATTGTTTAGTCTAGCAAGTTAAAATGAAACATAAACTTTGTATGTTATCTTATAAAATAGATGAAAGCTGTAAGCTCACAAAGGAAGGTCATTTAGCCCAGTCAAGGTTTCTGGTGTCACAGTGTTACTGTAGAAATCTAATCTAGTCCTTACTGAAGGAGGGTTAGCAAACAAATGTAGGGTAATTGATAGAGTATTAGGGGTTGAACTTAGGCCCTCATGGAATGTAGGGTAATACAGATAATAGATGACACAGACTTTTGTTTGATTATTGGATAATGTGAGGTATTTATTTTTTTCCTTCCTTTTTTTCTTTTTCCTAAAAGGTACAACTGGATTTGGAACAAATCCAGGTGGTCTGTTTGGCCAGCAGAATCAGCAGACTACCAGTCTCTTCAGCAAACCATTTGGTCAAGCCACAACCACACAGAACACTGGCTTTTCCTTTGGTAATACCAGCACTCTCGGACAGCCAAGCACAAACACCATGGTAAGGAAATAGACCTTTAAATAATTCACGGTCTTATTTGTAGAGCCATGTAATGAAACTTCTAATCATGTCATGACCTACCTCAAGTTCTGTCTCTACTGCCATTCTTTAAAAGCTGGAGATATTTAGTAAAGGGCAAAAAACAAACTCTGTGAGTAATTAAAACCTAGGTTGCAACTGAGGTTCTCCTCTATTCGTTGAGAGTCTATGGAGCAGGTCATTTATCCTTTTCTCTGAGCATTTTTTTTCTCATCACTAAAAGCTCACTTAGTGGGACACAGTTGTCTGTCTTGAAGCTATATTTCGTGACACTGACTGTAGCCATTCTGTAGAGTGTAGGAGTAAATAGTTACCAGTTACTAGCTGGATTTCAGAATGTTCTTTCAGCTTGTTCCTGTGTAGTTGGGGAAAAAAAGTCTAGTTATTTGGTAGTGAAAAAAAGTTAAACCTAAAACATAGAGCCATATTAATTAGATAATTGCTCCTTCTGTGCCTTAAGTGAAAGTTGTCACAATTGTTGTTTCTAGCCACCCTCTTTTAGGGAAGTATAAAATTAAAGTTGATTTGAGGTATGATTAATTGATTAAAATTCTTGAAATTTACCTGGTACTTAAATTAGAGATGCTTTGCCTGATTAGATCACAAAATCTTCAAAATACTTACAGACTGAATTTATCAACATGTGAAGAAAATTATGCATCATGACTAGGTAGTATATATTCTAGAAATGTTGGTTCAACCTATGAAAATTAATCATAATTATGGTAATGGAATAAAGAACAAAAATCACATGATCACCTCAGATGCAGAAAAAGCATTTGATACCCTTTAATGATTAAGAAAAAGCACACAACAGAGAACAGAACAAAACTCAGAATAGCCAAAACAATCTTAAAAACTAACAAAGTTCAAAGACTTTAAGACTTACTAAAAAGTAATAATAATCAAGACAATGATGTCAGGCATGGTATCTGGTACCTATGATCACATCACTTGGAAGCCTGATGCAGGAGGATCTTTAGTAGAAGGCCAGTCTATGAATCCCTGTCTTAAAAACAAATGAAAAAATCCAAACAAACTGCTGGTTACTGGCATAAGGAGACATATATAGATCAGTGGAGTAAAATGGAGAGCCCAGCAATAAACACACTTATGGACAAGTGATTTTCAACATGGGTATCAAAACAATTCAGTAGGGAAGAAATAGTCTTCAACATGAAAACTCTTAAAAGAAAATGAGTTAATTCACAATAGCCAAGTTATGGAAACAGCCAAGATGCCCCACCACTGACGAATGGATTAAGAAAATGTGGTATCTGTACACAATGGAATTTTATGCAGCCATGAAGAACAACGAAATGTTATCATTCGCTGGTAAATGGATGGAATTGGAGAACATCATTCTGAGTGAGGTTAGCCTGGCCCAAAAGACCAAAAATCGTATGTTCTCCCTCATATGTGGACATTAGATCAAGGCAAACACAACAAGGGATTGGACTTTGAGCACATGATAAAAGCGAGAGCACACAAGGGAGGGTGAGGATAAGGAAGACACCTAAAAAATTAGCTAGCAATTGTTGCCCTTAACGCAGAGAAACTAAAGGCAGATACCTTAAAGCAACTGAGGCCAATAGGAAAAGGGGACCAGGAACTAGAGAAAAGGTTAGATCAAAAAGAATTAACCTAGAAGGTAACACCACGCACAGGAAATCAATGTGAGTCAACTCCCTGTATAGCTATCCTTATCTCAACCAGCAAAAACCCTTGTTCCTTCCTATTATTGCTTATACTCTCTCTCAAACAAAATTAGAAATAAGGGCAAAATAGTTTCTGCTGGGTATTGAGGGGGGGGAGAGGGAAGGGGCAGAGTGGGTGGTAAGGGAGGGGGTGGGGACAGGGGGGAGAAATGACCCAAGCCTTGTATGCACATATGAATAATAAAATAATAAGAATTAAAAAAAAAAAAAGAGAAAAAGAAGAAAATGAGTTAGAACTGGGTTCAGGTGGCTCACAACTGTAATCCCGGCTCCTTGGGAGACAGAGTAGAGGAGGATCTCAATTTGAAGCCAGCCTTGGGCAAATAGTATGAAAATACCCAACACAGTACAAGCAGGGCTGGTAGAGGGCTCAAATGATAGAGCACCTGCCTAGCAAGTTTGAGGGTCCTGAGTTCAAACCCAAGTACCACTAAAAAAAAAAAAGAGAAGAAAAAGAATCCAAGTATTGTGGCACACTGTAATCTCAGGTTCTAGGGAGGCAAAGATCAGGAAGATTGTGGTCCAAGACCAGCCTGGGGAAAAAAAAAAAAATGCAGGACCCCCCCCATCTCAACCAATAAGCTGAGCACAGTGATGTACACTTGTAAATCCAGCTGCATAGCAGTCTAGGCCAGCCTAAGCAAGAACACAATATTGTATTCTATAACTAAGCAAAAATGAAAAGAAAACCCACAAATGGAAGAAAATACTTGCAAATCATATATCTGATATAGTAGGACTTATATGCTGAATAAAAATAAAATAAAAAACTAAGAAGAAAGTAACCCATTTAAAAGGGGCCAAGAAATTGAATAGACATATTTTCAAAGAAAATATACAAATGGCTAATGAGCATATGAAAAGATGCTCAACATCATTAGTCATCAGGGAAATACAAACAAAAATGTAAGACTACCTCATACCCGAAGGCTAAAATAAAAATGAGAGACAGTGGTAAATATTGATGAGGACTCATACATTGCTGATAGGAATCTATAATGATCCAACCACTTTAGAAAACAGTTCACTGATTGTTTGAAATGTTAAACGTAGAGTTATCACGTGATCCACCCTTTGTACTTCTTGGTATTTACCCAAGAGAAATGAAAACACAGGTTGTAACGGAAGTGATCATAATAGTACTATTCATAATGGCAAAAAAATGGAAACAATCCAAATATTTGTCAATGGTAAATGGATAAACAGTTGTGGTATATCCATACAAATGGTATATTATTTAGCCAAAAAATGGGATGAAGTACTGGTATATGCTACAACGAAGATGAACCTTGAAAACATAGTGAAAGAAGCCAATCACAAAAGGCCACTTTTTTTTTTTTTTTAAACAATTCTGTAATCGGGGATCAAGAGGATCACCATGAGACTAGCCCAGAAACTGTTTGCAGACCCCCAACCATAGACTGGGCAAGGTGGTGCATGTCTGTCTCCCAGCTAGATGGGGAAGCACAGATAGGATCACTTCCCAGGCTGGCATGGACATAAAGTGAAAATCCTGTCTCAAAAGTAACCAACACAAAAAGGACTAGTGGAGTGCCTGACGTGGTAGAATGCCTACCTAGCAAGTACAAGGCCCTGACTGAGTTCAATCCCCAGTACCACCAAAGAAAAAACTAAAACAGATTTTCCTGATCATGTAGAATGTTCAGAATAGACAGATCCATAAAAACAAAATGTAAATTAGAGGACTGAAGGTATGGCTCATGTGGTAGAGTGCTCTCCTAACAAGCATGAGGCCTTGGGTTCAACTCCCAACACCACAAAAAACTAATGGTACTTTGAAATGGGACGTGATTGCTAGTGAGAGTGGAATTTCTTTTTGGAGTGATGAAGATGTTCTAAATGTAGATTGTAGGATGGTTGTGTAACTCAGAACTTAACTACCAAAAACAAAAACAAAAACAACCACTGAGTGTCCACTGTAACTAAATGAATTTTATGGCATGTGAATTACATTTCAGTGCTATTTAAAAACGGGATGGAGGCCTGAGGGTATGTCTCAAGTGGTAGAGTATTTGCCTGGCAAGCATTAGGCCCTAGTTTCAAACACCGGTGCCACCAAAAAATAAGGGTTGGAGATATGGCTGAAATGATGGTGCGCCTGCCTAGCCTGAGTTCAAACCCCAGTGCTGCCAAAAACAAACATACATGCTAGGGTTGTAACTCAGTGGCATACCATTTATAAGGCCCTGGGTTTAACCCCAGCTCTACAAAAAATAGAAATAAATAAAAATACAGTAAAACTGTCAAATCAGCGGTAGCACATTAGGACAATATTTTCTATCATTATCTAAAGTATTAATACAACACATTGTTAATATTAGGTGATCCAGACTTTCCTTCTTTGAAATGAATTGCAATTTTCTATTAAGAATTAAAGTTTTGGGGGCTGGTGATGTAGGTCAGTGGTAGAGCATTTGTCTAGCATTCTCAAGGCTATGGGTTATATCCCCAGCACCACACACAAAAAAATTTTTTTTTAAATTGACCTATTAATGTTATGTTACTTACTCTATCTGTATTGATTTGACTACTGTTTTCAGTTATTTGATTCAAAAGTGTACTCCCCAGCTTAGTATTGATTAGTTCTTTTGGCTGCTTTGAAAATGAAGCACCCTATCATTCAATTTTGCTTTTACTGCTGCAGTGGTGACATCTCTTAGAGCTCAAGAGGTCATACACATTCTTATTACTTGCCCAACCTTGGAGCCCTTCATTTTAGGAACAACAGAGGCTTAGGTTTAGATACGAATTTATGGTCTTCCTACTCACAAGCTGTGTTGTCTTGGGAAAAATTTTCACTGCTCTGATCTTTATATTCTTTTGGAAAATGGGGAAACTATACTTTCTGCTTTTCAAGGTTGTTATGAAGAAAAGAAATGCCGTATGGAAAGTGTTTAGCACTGTATCTCTCATATATGCTTTTTTTTTTTTTTTTTAAAGATAACTATTAACGTAGGACTCTAAGAAAATTATTATGGGATATTTTTCAGTCTATATTACTTTTTGCAGGGCTTATTTGGAGTAACCCAAGCCTCACAGCCAGCAGGTCTTTTTGGGACAGCTACGAATACCAGTACTGGGACAGCATTTGGAACAGGAACAGGTCTCTTTGGGCAGACCAATACTGGGTTTGGTGCAGTTAGTTCGGTAGGTGTTAACAGTTGACTTTAATTTGAAGTTTATAATGTGTTCAAGGAATTTATAAGAAAGATGTCATTGGGCTAGAGGTGTGGTTCAAATGGTAGGTTTTACCTAGCATGCACAAGGCCCTGAGTTCAAACTGTAGGACCACCAAAAAATTTTAAAAAATGTTTTTAATTGAAAAAAAAAGGTATCATTGTCTTCCAAGTACATTTACAGAGTATATTGTGTGATTTGATACTAAAAGCAAATAAAAGCTATTTGATACAACATGAAATTACTGACTTATATAAGTTTATTTTCATTTAGTTAATTCTCTTTGCTTCAATGTTGGTATAGTTTTCTTTTGTTAGCAAAATGCCACTCCAATTTATTAGTTTATTTGTAACTTTTAATTATTTTTGAAATGAAAACACTTTTTATTGTGTACAGCATGAAGTCTTAAAGTGTATATATATGGTAGAGTCTAGTTAGGTAGTTTAAATTTTCTTTGCTGGGGAGGGGGATAAGGGACACAGAAGTACTCCTGGCACTTGAGCCACGTCTTCACTTTACCTCGTTTGCTTTAGGTTTTCTTTTTTTTTGAGAGGGTCTCACATTTTTGCATTGGGCCGGCCTGGACCATGATCCTCCTATCTATAGCCTCCTCTGTAGCTGGAATGAAAGGAGTGTATCATCACACCAGGCTTATTTATTGAGATGGGGTCTCCCTGAAATCTAGATACTCCCGATCTTTGCCTCTCCAGTAGTTGAGATTACAGGTGTGGGCCCCTGTGCCTGGCAGACTGTTTAAATTCTTGAGTCTTAATTGAGATACTTTTATGTTGTTTAAATCAGACAATTTAACCTGCTATCTCCCCTGTATGTTTTAGGTGATAGATTGGTATGGCACTTGGAAAGTAAATGTTTTTTGTTGGTACTGGGCTTTGAATTCAGGGCTTTGCTGTTGACTAGGCAGGAGCCTCTAATGCTTGCTCCATGCCTCTACCCTGAAATTAAATGTTGTTGAAATTATTGGAGTTCTCATGTTGCTGGAGGCTAAACTGAATTATTTTCCTTAAGTCATTTTAAGTAAAGTACTATTTGGAAATGTACTTAACCTAACAATGCTAAATTCTGTATTACGATTTAAAAAATAAAGGGGTAAGGTGGGTTGTAGCTCAGTGGTAGAGTTCTTGCCTAGCAGGCACACAAAGGTCCAGCTCCACAAAAAAATAAACGAAAGAAACTGGGTGTGGTGGCACATCACCGTAATCTCATCACTCAGGAGACTGAAGTAGGAGAATCTCCAGTTTGAGGCTTTCTTGGGCTACATAATGAGACTCTATCTCATCCTGCCTGCCCGCCCAATAAATAGTTATCAGTGTGAAGCAGTTTATATTGTGTAACCAAGCATTGAGCTTGCTATTACGGGTATTTAAAATAAAATTTAAAAAAAATCCTCAAACCATATGATCCTGTTTTCATGGAGATTGAAATTTTCCTTTATTTGTTTGTTTATTTTGAGGTACTGGGGTTTGAACACAGGGCCTCACTCTTGCTAGTCAGGCATTCTACCTCTTCAGCCACTCTGCCAGCCTTCTTTTTTTTAATATTAGGTATTTCTGAGATAGGGCCTCACACAAACTTATTTACTTGGGCTGGCTTTGAACTGTGATCTTCTTGATCTCTGCCTCCTGAGTAGCTAGGATTATAGGTGTGAGCCACAGATGCCTCACTTCTTATTTTATCTTAATTTTTTTTCCCATGGTGCCTAAAGCAAATGGGTAAAGACATAAAATCAGGACCTTGTGCTTGCCAGTCAAGCACTCAGCCTTCTGAGCCACACCAACAGCCATTTTTGCTCTAGTTACTTTTTCAGATAGGTTCTCACACTTTTGCCAGGCCTTGCCTCTAACCTTGATCCTCCAGATTTCCACCTCCAAGTAGCTGGGATTTGAGATGTGCACCACCATTTATGGCCCTGAAATGTTTTTCTTAATCTCATTTGAACAATAATTGATTTAAGAAATGGAGAAAATTATGTAATGCCTCAGAATGTTCTTATACTTTTTTAATAGCTTTATTGATTTTTATCTATATATATAATTTATCTCTTTAAATTATACAGTTCAGTGGTTTTTAATATATGCTCAGTGTGCAGCTATCATCACATTAGTTTTACCACACTAAAGTCATAATCCGATACTCATTAGCAGTTGTCCTCCATGATGCCCCAGTCACCTCTGGCCTATTGTCTCTGGATTTGACTGTTGCCAACATTTCATATGACTGGAATCACCTTTTGTGACTGGTTTCATTCACTTAGCTTGATATTTTTAGGGTTCAGTATGTTGTAGCACATTTAAGTTTTTTATTGTATATGTTCCTTCTGGCAAATGCAGTATCTGATATATTTCTGTTAATAGGTTAAAAAAAAATCAGATGGTGCTGGGCATGGTGGTGCACACCTGTAATCCCAGTACTTGAGAGGTAGAGCAGGAGGATTGTAAATTCAGGGACAACCTGGGCTACATAGAGAGTTCAACCCTAGCCTAGGCTACATAGTGGGACACTCAAAAAAAAAAACCATAGGGCCAAGGATGTAGCTCAGTAGTGATGCACTGGCATGTACAGAGCCCTGGGTTCAATCCAAAACAATGAAAAAAAAAAACTGTCTTGTTTCTTTGAGATGTTACCATTAACTTTTCAGGCTAGGAACATTCTCTTTACAATTTTACTCAGGTTATTTTATCTTTCTGATAGTGTTTATGTATCTTTTTAATAAAAATTATGACATCTTTTCCCCCATCCTACACCTAATATATTGTACTTGAAATTGTCAATTTGCTGTTTGGTATGTATCTTTATATTATTTAAAACTTCCCTGTATTCTGTTCTTTTTAGACCCTGTTTGGCAATAACAAGCTTACTACATTTGGAACCAGCACAACCAGTGCTCCTTCATTTGGTACAACCAGTGGCGGGCTCTTTGGTAACAAACCAACCCTGACTTTAGGAACCAATACAAACACTTCCAATTTTGGTACATATAAAAAGCAGGTTTGGCTCTCTTAAAGTTACACTGACTATACCACACATTATTCTCCTGATTGATATGATTGGAAATATTTAAAAATTCTCAGGTAAGCCGTGGCTTTTGTGAGGTACCAGAGGAAAAGGTTTAAATCATGGGACATGGCTTGAGGTATTTAGTAGAGATGTAAATCGGCTTTCATTTTCTTTGGATTATCTCAACAGTAACTAGAACCATAAATGAAACACATTTCACTGAAGTAATACATCCTATTACACTAGGTTTCAAATAGAAATGCAGTGTATAGAAGAGATTTGATGATTCTTTCTGCTGTTATGGACTATTTTTAAGCTAGGTTTAATGCTAGGGGTTTTTTGTTTGTTTGTTTGTTTTGTAGTACTGGGGCTTGAATTCAGGGCCTCACACTTGCTAGGCTCTACCTCTTGATCCACTCTGAGTCACTCTGCCAGCCTTGATGATTCTTTCTGAAAGTGGAAACCTGTCTTATTTGGGGAATTATTCAACAATTCTGACAGTTTCAAAATTTTTATGTTACAATTATATGCCTTATAAAAAAGTTCAGAAAATAAATTTGAACAATTAGGAAAAAAAAAAAACCAAAAAACTAGCCCTCTACCAGGCACCAGTGGCTCACATCTATAATCCTAGCTATTTGGGAAGCTGAGATGGCCTCGCAGTTCCAGGCCAGCCTGGCAAATTGTTCTTGAGACTCCAGAGCAAAATTGACTGGAGATGTGGCTCAAGCAGTGTAACATCTGCTTTGCAAACATGAAACCCTGATTTTAAACCTCAGTCCCATTTAAAAAAAAAAAAAAAATCTCTAAACTCCTCTTCAGAGATACGCTGGAAAAATTTAAACCAATTTAATAGAACATATTTTCAGCATCATCTATTCCCAATTAAATTTTCAAGCACACTCAGTATTATTTTCATAAGATATGGAAAGTTCAGTGTTTGACAAGGGAAATACAGTTCAAATATTTGTTGAAGATTTTGCTTGCCAGATCCATCACTAGGCACTGATTTCTTCCAGAGAAAAGAGTGCATTTAATGGGTCAGCAGTTATGCAGTTCTTCACTTAGGTTTTTTCGTTTGAAATGTTGGGAAGTAACCCAGGGACTCATACATGGTAGGCAAGTCCTCGACTACTGAATTATATCCCCAGCCCACTTAGTGAATTTTAAATGATTGTGTATATTCCAGGGAAAGAGACTAATTCAAGCACCCATTTAAAAGGTTAATATGTTTTAAAGAAGTAAAAGCTGTATGAAGTCTTTCTTAAAAGATTAAGTATGTGTTTAGGTACCCATTCCTACACCTATGTATCTGATTTTTATAACCTCTTTTACTCATTTACTCACTGCTAATAACAATTATAGTTATGCTCATATTTTTTGGTTGTAACTTTATTTGAAAGAACAGCTTTGAGGCAGTAGATTTGGTGAGCATGTGTAGGATAATCTGGCTTGTGTACTTGGTTCTTTCTCTTAAACCAAGGTTCAGATCAGTATTTCTCAGTTTTTTAATTTGTTAATTTGTTTTTAGTCATTATCATTCCCCTTTCCCAAGGAGTCTTTGTAGTAGACCATTTTTTCTTTTTTTTTTTTTTTTCCCCCTTCTTTTGTTTTTGGTGGTACTGGGGTTTAAACTCAGGGCCTCATGCTTTCTAGGCAGGTACTCTGCCACTTGAGCCACTCCACCAACCCTGTTTTGTGTTGGTTTTTTTTGAGATAGGGGTCTCTGGAACTATTTGCCTGGACAGGCTTCAAACCTTGATACTCCTGATGTCTGCCTTCCGAATAGACCATTTTTTCTTTCTTTCTTTTTTTTTTTTTTTCCTAAATCATTATGCTTTTTTCTTTTTTTTTGTTTTTTTTTTTTTTGTTAAAATAGTTTTTTTTTTAATTATTCATATGTGCATACAAAGGCTTGGTTCAATTCTCCCCCTGCCCCCACCCCCTCCCTTACTATCCAGTCCGCCCCCTCCTTCTTCCCCCACCCCCTCAATACCCAGCAGAAACTATTTTGCCCTTATTTCTAATTTTGTTGTAGAGAGAGTATAAGCAATAATAGGAAGGAACACGGGTTTTTGCTGGTTGAGATAAGTATAGCTATACAGGGCATTGACTCACATTGATTTCCTGTGCGTGGGTGTTACCTTCTAGGTTAATTATTCTTGAACTAACCTTTTCTCTAGTACCTGTTCCTCTTTTCCTATTGGCCTCAGTTGCTTTTAAGGTATCTGCTTTTTAATCCAAATATTTTTTCCCTTGAGACAGGATCTTGCTATGGTGCTCAGGGTTGCCTAGAACTCTTGGGCTCAATTGATCCTTTACCCTTTTGCCTCCTCAAGAGCTGGGTTTATGGGTGCACACCACCGTGCCTGGCTAATCATCTGAAATTTTAGTACCAAACATATCCTGTGTATCTGTTTTATCTTTAGTGGCCCTTTGAAGGGCTACATACTATTGCACTTTGATTATTTTCTCTTAAGAAATAATTTTCACTCTTTGAAAGTTCATATGTTTAACAAAAACTTTGTAGCACATACCATATTCAGAATTAAAAGTTATTTGTATTTAACAGACTATTTGTATAGGTTGTACTTGAAAAAATAGGCTATACTTCTGAAGTATATTTTATTTCATGGTTATAAATTTTTGATTTCCTCAGAGTTGTGTGTGTGTGTGTGTGTGTGTGTGTATTCACACTCATGCACTGATTTGGTTTTGGTTTTGGTTTTTGGTTGGACTGCCATGTTCACTGATAGGAAAATGAAATGTCTCATGTTTCTGGCTTTTTCTTTTTTTTGACGGCACTGCGATTTGAATTTAGGGGCCTTGCACTTGCTAGGCAGGTGTCTTACCACTTGAGCCACTCCACTAGCCCAAAATATCTCATTTTTTATCTGAGTTACTTCACTAGCTTGCGTGCTGACTTTAAATTATCTTTAATTTTAATTTGTGAAATTGTTTTTGAAATAACAGTTGATACACTTGTTGGAGAATTGGAGGAAATGTGTGGTATAAACAGCGTAAGATGGGATTTACATCCCTCCTGTGGGTTTGAGGTAGTTCATGAGCGTCTTGTTTTCTGCTGTTATGGGGCTATGAGATCCTTTCTGGTTAAATTTTAATTCAAAAAGAAGAAGAACATCTCCAAGTAAACTTATATATTTTTTTTCTTAAAGTTGATTATGCTTAAGTAGGCAGTACTTCATTTGTGTGGTATAACTAATAGTACAATTCAAGAAAAGCCTTTTAGCCAGGCTCAGTGCCTTTTTCTTAGTTGTAGAGTTACAGCTTCTTGGGAGGCTAAGATGGGAAGGATCTCAGTTTGAGGCCTCCATCTCAAAATTTTGTGAAACTCCATCTCAACCAATAGCTGGATCTGGTGGTGTGCACCTGTCATTCCAGCTACTTTGGAGGGTGAGATTGGGAGAATTTTGGTTTCAGGCCATCTCAGGCAAAGCATTTCAAAACCAAGATCCCATTCCCATAGAAAAAGCTGGGCGTGATGGAATGCGCCTGTCATTCCAGCTATGGCAAGAAAGCATATAGAATCACAGTCCAGTCTTCTCTGGCAAAAAGCAAGACCCTGTATCAAAAATAACCAGAGCAGAAAGAGCTTGAAGCAGCCTCAAGGTGTTAGAGCACCTGCCTAACAAGCATGAAGCACTAAATTCCAAAAAGTTTTTAATTTTTTTGAGACGTGGTCGTGCTAAGTAGCCTAGGCAAACCTCAGCCTCAATGATCTTTCTGTCTCATCCTCTCAAGGCATGTTTAATGAATGCATGTATCAGATGTATTGAGGCTAAGTAGATTACTTGCTTGGATTTTAAAAGGGCATGAAATGTGTTTGTCTTCAACTTTTTTCTTGACTTTTATCAATGATACAACATTCCAAATACTGGCCTGACAGACTATAGTATTCTTAATGATACTTCCATGTATTCTAAAATATCCTATTTACTTTCTGAGTTTTCTTTCCTTTTGTTTCCTCCTCCTCCTTCTTTGTTCCTTCCTTCTTCCTTCTACTTCTTCTTCCTTCTTCCTTCTCTTCTTCATTATTATTGTTTTGTTTTGGGTGACCGGGCCTTGCTAAATGTAGCCCAGACTTGACTCAAAAGTTGGTAATCCTACTATCTCAGTCTCCTGAGTGCTGTAGTTATAGGCCTACACCATCATTCCCAAGTTTATTTATTTATTTTGATTGAACTGGAGTTTGAACTTAGGACCTCAAGCTTGCTGAGCAAACACTACCACTTGAGCCATGGCCTCAAGACCTTTTTGCTTTAATTCTCTTCCTTCCTTCCTTTTTCCCTCCCTCCCTCCCTTTTTTATGATAAATTTTTTATTAGGATATATTCATTATACAGGGGAGGGACTCATAGTGACAATTCTGATTACACTTATGTTGTACATTATTTACATTGACCCCATCATCTCTCCTCCTCAGCCCTAGCCCCCTCCCCTCTTTCTTTTTCTTTTCATTCTTTTATTTAATTATTTTTTGTGAGACTGAAGTTTGAACTCAGGACTTCACACTTGCAAAGCGGGTGCTCTACTGCTTGAGCCATACCTCCAATCCATTTTGTTCTGGTTATTTTGGAAATAGGGTCTTACAAACTATTTGTCCAGGTTCACCTTGAAACACAATCCTCCTAATCTCAGCCTTCTGAGTAGCTAAGATTACAGGGAGTCACCAACCAGCGCCCAGCTTGCTTTAATTACTTTACAAATAGGGTTTCACTGTTTGTTCAGGGCATGCTTCGTACTGCCATCCTCCTACCTGTGAAATAACTGGGATGACAGGCTTAACCCACTACACCTGGAATGTTTTGTTGACAAAGAGTCTCATTAACTTTTTCCTTAGGCTGGCCTCAACTAAGACCCCTGGTTTCCACCTCCCAAGTAGCTGGGACTGAATAGGCATGACACTGAGCCTGGCTTGCTTTCTTTCTTCTTTTTTTTTTTTTTTTTTTGTGATTACTGGAATTTTAACTCGGGGTCTTTCACTTGAGCCATACTACTAGCCTCTTTTGCTTTAGTTTATTTTTCAAGTCAGGTCTTGCCTTATGCCCAGGCTGGTCTGGACTATTATTTATAAATGTTTCCCACATAGCTGGGATGACAAGTTCATGCCACCACATCCAGCTTATTGGCTGATAAGGGTTTTTACATTTTGCTTGTGGTGGCCTCCACCCTCAATCCTAGTATTATAGGTATGAGCCACCATGCCTGGCTTTTCTTTGAGTTTTAATACAAGGTCTCACTTTGTAGCCCTAGCTGGTCTTGAATTCATAATCCTCCTGCTCTGCCTCCTGTTAGGATTGCAGGCATGTACAACCACACTCCACTTCCATGATAATTTTTTAAATGACTTCAAGTATTTTACAAACACAGTTTTGTGGCTAATGATTGATCTTCTCTTAGCATGAGAGGTTGATGATATGTTTGTCAGTTGTTTTGTCAATATTTAGCTTCAAAAGTTACATAGAAACTGTGGATATATCTCAAAAAAAAAAAGTAATAGCAATACAATTCATTTGTCTGTGTTTGATACCTGTGGATTTTAAAGGGGAATTGTACAATTTTGTCACACAAATCATAGTGACAATAGATATTTTCCATCTAATGAAAGAAATCATTCAACTGAACATAAGTTCTTGATAGGTTATCTTCTCTTTTTAGGGTTAGCTGGCTGAGTCCTTGAGTGTTCCCATCACTTGTTTATAATGTCATTAAAGCTGCTCATGTGATCAGTTACACATTACTACCCATGCCAGTTTTATCTGTTTAAAACAACAGTTGCTGTACAGATTTTTCTTTCCCTCTCTTTTTTTATTTTTTTGGGTGGTGGTATTGGGGTTTGAACTTGGCCTCATGTTTGCTAGGCCAAATTCAAATCACTTGTGCTCAAGCTCTACCACATGAGCCTGCCACCAGCTCTTTTTTAATTTGAGTATTGGGTATTTTCAAGATAGTGTCTCTAGAACTATTTGTCTGAGCTGGCTTTGAACCTCGATGCTCCTGATATCTGCCTTCTGAGCAGCTAGGATTACAGAGGCATGAGCCACCCAGCTCCTGGCTGCTGTATAGATTTTTATAGGTAATTTTCATTTCCTGTAGGTTCATTAAAGTGTTTTTGTTGACTATCTTACTAATTTTAATGAAAGTTTGAAGAAATGAATTTTTCTATCAGTAAACCAGAAACAAGTATTGAATGCTTTGGGTCTTATAAAGCTTCTTAATGCTGAAGCACATTGACCTTTAGTACTGGATATTATCTTATATTGAATTGATATTTTAATGGTGAAAATGTCATTAAGTAAAGGTGAAGCTTGTTTGCAAGTGTTAGAATTAGGTTTTCTAAATACTAACTGAAAGAATGTAAAGCTTGAGCTCAGGCTGCTTTGTGTTAAAATCCCTTTTTGAGAAAATTGAGCATTATGTTAAAAGTACAGTTCACTCATTCTTTTGTCCCCTTAGGTTTTGGCACCAATACCAGTGGGAATAGTATTTTTGGAAGTAAACCAGCACCTGGAGCTTTGGGAACTGGGATTGGTACAGGATTTGGAACAGGTAAGGAACAGCTACCATAAGTTTTAGGAAGTAATGCAACCTTTTCATCATTTCATCATATGCGTGGAAATAAGAGGCCTAGATGTTTATTTAAAAAAAATGGATTTATGAAGATTTCTAGCTGTTATGTTACATAAAACAGTGGTGTACTTACTTTAGAAATGAATTCCGCAAAATATTTGTCCTGAAAATCTTGGTCTGTTTTGGGATTTTTCAGTAAATAATGTGAGAATTGTCAATATGCTGGTACTGACTAACTTTTTAATCCCCTTCTTGACCTTTTTATCAGGTAAGCCCTAGCAGTAAGGGAGCAGTAAGAGTGCATGATGATGTAATTAATAAATACTCTGAGAATTTGCAAGGTCTGTGTATAATTTTCAATTCTTTTAACTGTAGTAGAAACCAGGGATGTCATTCCTGTATCTCTGTTCCTACTGTCAGTACTTGTTTTTCAGTGCATTTGAAAATGCCAACTTTTCTAATGCCCACCTATCTTAACTAATTGGAGGGGGTTGTTGTTATAAGGTGGTATGTTTCACTGTGTACAGTTAAACAAAGTTGTTTAGGTATGTAGTTTTGTCTACTTTTCCCAGTTCATCTGACCATTGATGTGATCATTTAGTTGTACACCAGTGATTCTGTAGTCTCTGCTTCCACTATTAGTTATCTGTTATCTTTACTTCTGTGACATGATCATTCACCTGCCATCTCTTAATAGAACCTCCTTTTGTACTATGAATTGCTACCATTCATTTTCTTCTATTATTATTTATTTATTTATGTGTTTAGTCAATACTTGGGCTTGAACTCAGGGCCTCATGTTTGAGCCACTCTGCCAGCCCTTCATTTTCTTTTTAAACTAAAAGGTACTAGTGCTGGTAAATGTTTTAGCAATTCTGAAATATCATGAAAAGTTCAAGTGTTTCAACTTCTAAGTAACACTGTTGAAAGTTTGGCATGTATCTTGTCAGACCCCTATGTATGCATTTGCACATATTTATTTTATATATAGGGTTATTGGTCATTCTCTTTTTTTTTTTTGTGGTAATGGTGTTCGAACTCAGGATTTTGTGCTTATAGGTGTTCTATCACTTGAGCCACTCCACTAGCCATTTTTATGTTGGTTTTTTTTGTTTTGTTTTGTTTTTGAGATAGTGTCTTGCTTTATGCTCAGACTAGCCTGGACTGCAATCCTCCTATTTATGCTTCTCTGAGTAGCTGCATACCACCACACTCAGCCATTGGTTTAGATAGGTTCTATTGAAATTTTTTTGCCCAGCTGGCCTCAAACTATGATCCTCCCAATCTCTGTTTCTTAAATGGCTAGGGTTATAGGCTTGATCCAGGGTGCCCAGCTAGCTTATTTATTTTCTTATGGTCTGCATATAGATCTATCCCATAAAAAAAAAAAAACCTACTTATTATTTGTGTATGTGTGTGTATATATACACGTCTGCATAATTTCACACATCATACAGGCACCGTAATTTACTTATCTTTTTCAGTATTGATAGAAAATGGAATTATTTTGTATTATTAGCAAATAAAGGTTTCGTTATAATTTTGCATGTATGTTACTATAGGATTAAGTCAAATTAGAATTGTGTGTAGAAGCTATGTGCATATTTTGAGTATGATCTTGCTAATTTGCCTTCCAAAAAGAATACTGTTTTGCATTGTTGTTTGCATTATAAGACGTACCCATTTTCTCATATTGTTGGGTTCTTTTTGCTTTCATTTTTTTTGAGGAATCTTGTTGTGTTGATCAGTCTAATCTTGAACCTCGTGACTCAATGAATCCTCCTGTTCCCAAGTAGCTGGGACTGACTATAAGCATGTACTTACTCCATCCAGCTTGTTAGCCATTTTTACCTTTGCATATATGGTAGTGAAATTGGTATTTTCCAGTTCACACTTCACTAATTACTGGTGAAGCTGAAATTTCTTTTTGTTTGTTGTATTTTTTATTTTGGCAGTACTGGGTTTTGAACTTGTACTTCCTAGGCAGGCATTCTACCACTTGAGTGACGTCCCCAGCCTTTACAATGGATTTGACTGCTTCATGTTTCTTTATTCAGGCTACTGCAAAGATAAGGGAAATACCCACCTGGAACAGAAAATTTTATACAAGATTTTGTTTGGGGTTAAGGCAGTGTTAGGGTGCCACAAAAACAAAGAAAGAAATCCTAAAATATGTGTGGCAAACTTTTTCCATTGAGGAAGTAATATATTTTATATTTTAGCATTTCTAGGAACTTGCACTAATTGCTAATGGATTGGGACTTTAAAAAAAAAAGTCTTATGACTTGGTTTTGGTGTTTTTTGGTTTTTTTTTTTTTTTCCGGTCAGTACTGGGGTTTGAACTTAGGGCCTTACCCTTGCTGTGCAGGCACTTTACCAATTGAGCCGCTCTACCAGTCCTGTTTTGTATTCGGTTTTTTGAGATGGGGTCTTGCAAACTACCTGATCTGTGCCTCCTGAGTAGGTAGGATTATAGGCATGAGCCACCTTGGCCCAGCCAAATCTGGGATTTTTATGGATAAAATAATCTCATTGCTACTTTTTGTTTTGTTTTGCTTTGCATTACTGGTGATTCAACTCAGCATCTTGAATTTGTTGGGCAAGTCTCTACCATTTGAACTACACTGCATGCCCTGTTTTGTTTTTATTTTGCTTTTAAGATAGGGTCTCCCTAATGTTGCCGGAGCTGGCCTCAAATTTACAATTCTCCTGCTTTTGCTTACTGATCACCTGAGATTACAGGTGTGTGCCAGTGAATGCCCAGCTACGTTGTTGTCTTTTTTCCAGTGAGGTTGGCCTTAAATGTTGAATCTTCTTGCCTTCTCCTCAAGAGTGCTAGGAGTGCAAATTCATACCACTACAGTTGGCTTAAAATTTCTTATTTAGCTGGACACCAGTGGCTCATGACTTTTATCCTAGCTACTCAGGAGGCAAGAGCTCAGCAGGATCATGGTTCAAAGCCAGCTAGGGCAAATAGTTTGAGAGACCCTATCTCGAAAAAACCCCATCACAAAACACACACACACACACAAAGGGACTAAAAAGGAAAGAAAAGAAAAAAATTCTTATTTAAAACAAACAAACAAAAACCCACAAATGTATACAGTACACTTCTCCCTGGTGAAAATGATTTCTTACTGCAACCAATCTGGTTAATGCTGAAACTTGGATCTTGTTTAGTAACTTTACTATAAGAAGTTTCATTTCAGGACTGGAGGTGTGGCTCATGCAATAGAGCGCCTGCTTTGCAATCCAGAAGCCCTGAGTTCAAATCCCAGTCCCACCAAAAAAAAGTTTCATTTTCTGTAAAACAAGTTTATTTAGCTAAAACAGTCTTCATGAGATGATGTTTAAGATAGTTTACATTTGATTTTCAGTAGTTTAGCCTATTGTGAATGGGTCAGCTTAGTATTTTGATTTGTAAATACTGACCTTTAAGGATAATTAATTTCTTTATTATTCGTTGTTGTTGTTGTTGTTGTTGTATTGGGGGTACATTGTGACATTTACAAAAGTTCTTACAATATATCATAGTTGAATTCACCCCCTCCATCATAAGGAGAATTAATTTTTTAATTCTTTGAAAATCTGTTTTTCTATAGAGTAGCAGTTAAGCTCTGGTTACATTGTCAGATATATCTCATTTTGAGCCTCATTTCTACTATTTGTAACATTTGTGATATTGAGCTATTATACCCTCAGTTTTCTCATCTGTAAAATGGGACTAATAGTGCCTACTTGAGTCATACTGATAGTTGCTTAGAATGTTTAATATGCACCAGACATCTTCTAAACGCTTTAGAAGATGTGTTTATTCATTTTAATCTTAGGATAAATATCTAAGCTATATATTATTACCTCATGTTATAGCTGAGAAAACTGAAGCAGAGAGTAAGTATTTTGCCTATAATGTGTATGATATACCAAGCCTGCTTTGCATGAAGTTAGCATTTTTACTGTATTAGCTCTTAGATTAAAATGACTGGTTATTATCATGTATCCAAATATATTTTATTTTTAAAATATTTTTAAACTGACCTCTGGCACAACACTGAAAAGATCTTCTATGGCGCTTTTCTCTCTCCTCTTGTCTCCGTAGCTCTTGGTCCTGGACAGGCATCTTTGTTTGGGAACAATCAACCTAAGATTGGAGGGCCTCTTGGTACAGGAGCTTTTGGGGCCCCTGGATTTAATACTACTACAGCTACTTTGGGCTTTGGCGCCCCCCAGCCTCCAATAGGTAAGTGCCAGTTACTTTAGAAGGCTGTACTCAGTTTATTTCTTACACTGAACTTGCTGGCTTGATTGTTTCCGCCTCAGCCCTGTCTCATCCCTACTAAAGCAGTGTATACACGCAGGTCATTAAATAGTCATGTAATACAGAAGGGCTTAGATCCTGACCTTCCCTGTTTCCCCATTTCTTGGCCTAGTCTCTCAGTGACACCACTTTTGTTAACTACTTTTAACTCATTTGGCATATAATTTAAGTTCATACTATTGGATAGTGTGCTTATATTTTTGTGTTTTGTTTTTCATACTTCATTCATTTAAATGCATCTTCTCAGTTTCTGTATCTACCACCTTTATTTTATTTTTAACTTATACAAAATTAATTTAACTTTTAATTTAAATATGTTTTTAAAGAAAACTGTTCCACCCAAAATGAAAAACAGGTATAGCTAGCATAAAGTAACTGAATTAGAAAGGATAAAGAAATGAATTTGTTTTTGTACCGTTTAATTAATTTGCTGTACTATTGTGATATACATGAAACATTTGAGAAACCTTTGTAGACTTAAGCTGTGTACTTTTATACTTATTTGGTTCTAGGCTCTTTCTTGAATCTCTTTTGTCAAGTATGAGGTTATTAGTGCCTTTCCCTGTTTGCTCTTTGCCTCTTCTCTTCCTGTCTTTATGTTTTATATTGATAAAGTTGTATGTTCTGTTATTTGGTTAAACAGTAATTTAGAAGTTTAATTGAGGCTGCGAACGGGTGGCTTACAACCTATATTCCTAGCTACTTGGGAAGCTGAGATTGGGAAGATTGCAGTTCGAGGCCAGCCTGGGTAAATAGTTCAAGAGAGCCCATCTCCAGAATAACCAAGCAAAATGGATTGTAGATGTGGCTTGAGCAGTAGAGCACCTGCTTTCTACTTTGCAAGTGTGAAGTCGAGCTTGAGCCCCAATCCCACCAAAACAAAGAAAAGGTTCAAATGAACTCTGCGTTTTATTATAATTTATGACATAATCACTGCTCAGCCAAATAAATATACCTTCCTCATAGAGCTTTCTTCCCATCAAATTTCTAATGATTTTTTTCTCTTTTATTATTACTAACCCACATTGCCTTCTTAACTATTCCAAATTTTTACAAATGATATCACAAGTCTTCATTTACCCCTAATTCCTCATTTGATCTCTGGGTTTTCCTGTAGATAGGAACTCATTTTCTGAGCCTTCAGCATTATGCTAGAATATTCTGTTTTCAAGTCCACTCAGAATTGTCTTTCTTTCCCTTTTTATTTACCGAATTTTCTGGAATGTATCTTCAAATGAAGTATGTATGAAAGGTTAACTTTTGAATACTTAGCAGTATCTAAAAATAGCTTCATTCCTCAGTGTTATAAAATTCTGATGTAAAAATTATTTATCCTCAGAACCTTGACCATATCCCGTCTTGTAGTAACATTACTGATGATCTAATGCCTTTCTGATTTTTTGTGACCCATTCCCCACATCCCTCAAAAGCACTTAGGACTATTCTTTTGTCCTGATATTTCAGTGTTTTGTCTAGACTTTTTCTATCAGTGCTTCTATTAGCTATGTTTCTGCTTTCTAGAAATTTTATTTTTGCTATTTATTATTCTTTGGGTTTTTATTTTTAATTTATAAGAATTTTTACTGTGCATGGTGGTATGCACCTATAATCCCAGCACGCAGAAGGCTGATCATGAGTTCAAGGTCAGTCTGGGTGACTTTGTCTCAAAAAACAGTGCTCTTGTCTGAACGTTCCCATCTCTGCTGCTTAAATCTTTAGGATTAGTTTTTGTACTGATGCTTGGTGATTCATTTCTTTCATATTTAGGAGTAAAACATTAAAAACCTCACTCATTATTTCATGTGTGTTTTCCATGATGTTTCTTTAGGATTAGTAGTTTTGGAACTAGCTATGATCCAATGATTCTCTGTATGTAGAATGTCAAATTCTTAGGTCTGGGATGATACCATTACTCACTCTATTTGCTCTTGTCCTTTTTGTGTGTTTACTTAGCTTCATCAGAGGCAAACTCTGATATTTCGGCCTCTCTGTTGAACATCAGGGTAATTAGGAGGATGGCAGTGGGCAGATTTTTTAAAAATAGATTTTGCATTAATTCTTCTCTCCTCCTGTTTTTAACTCCCACTTCATCAATTTTAGTATTCTTAAATTTGCATTTTTTTTGGACTTAGGGTGATGTGCTCCACTTGACTATAATTCTCTTTGAATGTACTCTGAGTTTCCGTTTGAGTTTGCTCTATCTTACGTTATCACCCCTTTGTGTCCTTCCCCTAGAAATTTGTTTCCTCATGTGTTTATTTGGTACCTTTCTCATTCTTTGTCATTGTGGGTTGATAAAGATACATTAATTTTTTTTTAACCATAGGTTTTAATGAAGTTTTTGGAGAGAGAAGTTGAATTAGAATTCTTTTTGTTTGTTTGGTTGGTTTTGTGCAGTACTGGGAGTTGAACTCAGGGTCTTGTACTTACTAGGCATTTATTACTGCCACTCGGGCCACAGCACCAGCCCTATAATGCTAATTAATCACTCAAAAGCACTTAGGACTTAAAAGCTTTAGAATCAGTTTATGTTTAATTATGCACACCTTTGCCCGCTGCCCTAATTCTTCATCTATTTATGGCTGAAGATGGGCTGAAGTGCTTACTTTGCCTTTTCCTGTGGTGGATCTGGGAAGAGCATCTCCTTTCTCTGCCCTTAAAGAAGAATCGGTTTTATCGTTTATGTTTTTGGCAGTGCTGGGGTTTGAACTCCGGACCTTATGCTTGCTAGGCAGGAGCTCTACCACTTGAGCCCTGCCCTCCAGCCCCAGTTTTATCGTTAAAGATGATATTTCATTTTATTTCTTTTCCTTATATTTGGTTTTAAATAGGAGATAGCATAAATAAATACTGTAACCTGCCATTTTTAGCTTATTGTCTGGTTTTTAATCATCCATATATTTTTCTAAAGCCAATTAAAAGTTCCTTGTACAAGTAATACTTTTTGTATGGTGGTATTACTGCCCATTTTAAAGTAATTGTATTATCTTTTAGAATGCATTATCTTTGCATCACAGAATCTTAGTTGGAAGATGCTTTAGACTTGTATGTGTCCGCTCTTATTGTGAGAAGCCCTTACTGATCTTAAAAACCTCAGTGTTGGCGGCATCCTTATAGGACAGTTCAGCTCATGGTTCTATTCAGGTTCTTTAGAAAACTAAACCTGCCTCTATAGAATTTCCACCCCATTCTACTTTTTACCTTCTACAGCTAAGCAAAACAAGTCTGCTATAATTTCTTTGTGGGTAACCCATTTCCAGATAAAGTTCTATTTTATCAAGACTTGATTTTGTTTCTTTCCACATCCCTTTAGTCATTGGTCATGATTTAGTTCTTTGATGTGTTATCAAAATGTTATGACCAAAATTGAATGTAACAGCAATAGTAGCTTAACTAGTGCTTATTCTTTTATTTTTGCTAACACATCTGCTCTCTTCTCTGGCTTTTCTTTCTTTCTTTCATTCTTCCTTTTCTTTCTTTCTTCCTTTCTAGGGGTTCATTGTATGTTAGACTGGCCTTGAACTTTTGATTCATGTGCCTTAGTCTCCTGCGTGCTGTGATTAGTGAGCAGTATATGGCACCACACCTGCCTTATCTTTGTCTGTAAATAATACAGTTAACATAGAGAAGGTTTCATATTTCTAATACAAAAAAATAAAAATAGGCTCACATGCTTTCCTAGTTTCCTTTGGGTTTATTAAAGAAAGCTTTCATTCTTTGACCAAGCCTAGGTAGTATGATCTATAGGAGATCAAATATTGTGGGTCAGAGTTATATAATTAGTGATTGACAAGTAACAAAATGACACTTGAAGATTAGCGTTCTCTGAAACTTGTCTCCTGCAATGGTTCCCTGAATAACACTATTCTGTTTATGTATAATACTGTGTATTTGGATCTTCTCTCTGAAGGTCTCATGCTTTCTAGGCAGAGGCTCTACCACTTGAGGTACTCTGCCAGCCCCTTTTTTGTGTTGAGTATTTTTGTGATAGGGTCTGGAGAACTACTTGCCTGGGCTGACTTTGATCTACAACCCTCTTGATTTTTGCCTCCCAAGTAGCTAGAATTATAGGCATGAGCCACTGGCACCCAGCTTTTTGGAACTTTCATTAATGTAGCCATAGTTGCCTCACTGGGTTTTATTATTGTTGTTGCTCTTGGGTTTTTTGTCTTGATTTGTTTTTGGCAGCACTGGGAGTTTGAACTGAGGGCCTTCTGCTTGCTAGGCAGGCACTTTGCCACTTGAATCACTCCAGCAGCCCCTTTTGCTTTGGTTATTTTTGAGATAGTAGGGTCTTGCATTATGCTCAGGCCAGCTTGAACCATCGTGGTCTATTTGTGCTTCCCTGTATAGCTGGGGATGACAGGCGTATATCCAGCCATTTGTTGAGATGGGGTTTCAAGAACTTTTTTCCCATGCTGGTCTTTTTTTTTTTTCCACGTCAGAAGGGTAACGTGCCCACGTCGTAACAAGATTTGAGGGCGGCATATGTCACTCAGAGGCGTGAACACCCAATCATCATGCTCATGAACAAAAAAAGGATCCCCATGCTGGTCTTAAACCACAGTTCTCCTGGTCTCCATCTCCTAAGTGTCTAGGATTATGTTGTTTATTCTTGCTCCTATTTTGAGAGTTTTAAAATTTTTGTTTGTAGTACTCCTTTAATCTGATTTTTTTGTGTGTGAACGCATGGTTCTGGGAATCAACCTGAGGCTTCATACATGCTAGGCAGGTTCTCTACCAGTGAAGTGTACTCCGAGCCCCAATTTGGATTCTTACATTTTTCACTTTAGTCTATTTCCAAATGTTTATAAGAGAAAAAAATAGTATTTTTGTCTCTTAAGTTGACATCTGATCTAATTTTTTTTTTCCACTTTTTTTTTATTGTTGTGCTAGGGATACATTGTGGCATTACAGAAGTTCTTTCCTTCTATCAAATATATCATAATTGAATTCACCCCTTTCATCATTCTCCATTATCCCTCTCTTTCCCCCAATCTGATATTTTGATAAGTGTTTTTGGAGAGATACATCTTTATTTTTTAAGTTTGTTTATTTTTGATTTGCTATCATCAGGTTCACTGCCAGATAAAAGATTTTCTTTTTGTGCCATCTTTTTTCTCTACCAGGTTTTTGAGAATTAAGAAATGCTTCAGTTAACTCTGGACATACTGAATTTCCTTCAGGTTCAAGTATTGTCAGCATTTTTAAATCCCTTCTACTTTCCCATTCACTACACGAAGGTCCAGTGCTTTTTCTACCACAGATTCTTCAGGCTCTGCCATTTCAACTTTTTTACTCTTTTTCCATTCTGTTTCTTTCCCATTTTTTGCAAAGTAGTTTTATTGGAGACCATTTTTTATTGCATACTTGAGCTATTGTTCATCACCTCTGAGGCTCCTAGTGGTGAGTCCTGCAATGTCTCCATCCTGCATGCTGCCAGCTCAAGTCCTTGTTTTTCTTTTTATACTTTGTTCACCTGTAGATCATAAATATAGTCTTCATCGTTCTTAATGTCTGTTGCCTAAATTCTCTTATCACTGATAACGTTTGTTCTCAGACTTTGAAAGAAAATTAAACTAACTTGGTGGCTTTGTTTTCTTTAGATATATATTTAATTATGAGTATTAAATATAAATGATAAGCATATAAGTATTTCTTGACCATTTTTATTGTTTCTATGCTGCCTTCTTTTTCTAAATCACTCAGTGCTAAAAAAAAAATTGAGGTGGTTACTGGAGACTGTCCCCTGGGCTTCAAACATACTAGGCATGCACTCTACCACTAAAAAGTTTTATTCTCGAATTTCAGTTATTAAGTCAAGGATACTTTTGATATTTCTGCACTGAAATATATTTTGTAATAACATTTGTCATTATAATTATACTTATATAATTATAATTTGCAGTAACTGCATAACTTACCATGTTGAATTGTCGTGATTTTTGTAACCATTGACTTAATGTAGGACACATAGGTTGTTTCTGAATCCTGACCATTACATATATGTGCAGTGAACAAATGGGAATATTTCCTTTATTTTGTTTGTTTGTTTCGCGATAGGGTCCTCTATGTAGTCCAGGCTGACCTGGTACTCCTAATCCTCCTGCCTCACCCCCAGCTTTGTTTCCAATTTAACTAAGTCCTTGGGTTAAATATGCATGATTGAAATTATTAGATTTTAAGTAATAATGAGTATACTTGCTCTGCCATTGTATCTTTTAATCAGGTTAAGTCAATCTTAATTTTTCTCAAGGTAAAAAACTAACTTTTTATCTGTGCCCTGTTGGCTCATGCCTGTTGTACTAGCTACTCAGGAGGCAGAGATCAGGAGGATCGCTGTTAGAAGCCAGCACCAGGCAAATAGTTTGCAAGACCCTATCTCTAAAAACAGCCAACACAAAATAGGACTGATGGAATGGCTCAAGATGTAATGTGCCTTCCCAGTAAGCCTGAGGCCCTGAGTTCAAACCTCAGTACTGCCAAAAAAAAAAAAAGACTGTAACTTTTTATGCCATTTGCCAGTGATAATGAGGTAAGTATGAAATATTCCTTTAAGATTGTTTTAATTTGCACTTACTGGATTATCAATGACAACGAACACCTAAGTGAATTTTTATGTGAACTCTCTTAAGAAATGGTTCTTCATATCTTTGACTAGTTTTATTCATGAGGTTTTTAATTTCCCACTTTTCCAGTAATGCCATTGAGTGAGTCTGAATGTTTTGAAGATCTCATCCCCAAGAATGCTGAGTTCTCTAATATAAATGTGTTGGATCCCTAGACTTATGTATTTCCCATCCCCACTTGCCTTTTGTCTTTTTGGTTTTTTTTTTTAAAGCTTTGACAGACCCCAATGCTTCTGCTGCCCAGCAGGCTGTTCTCCAACAGCACCTCAATAGTCTAACATACTCACCTTTCGGAGACTCCCCTCTCTTCCGGAATCCCATGTCAGATCCTAAGAAGAAAGAAGAGGTAAATTTTTTTTTTTTCCTTTTCTAGAGGAGGCTAAAAAGGAATGATTTACCAATAGAAATACCAGTTACTGATAATTCCAAGCAAAGTATATGCTGTGCTAGCACTGCATTTTGTCATTTCATGTTTATAAGTAAACAGTGACAGCAGGCTGGTGAATAAGCTGCTAACTTCGGTTCTGTTTGGGTTTGAAATGACAAACTCCAGCATGAGCTGTGTGAACCAGAAAGTCACATCCTATGGAATGCAAGATATCTGGGTCTGCATCTTAGAGGTCTTAGCTGCAAGTCCCATCACGTCTAGGACATGTCCTGAATATGTCCTCCTGGTAGGATTGTTCTCTATCTACAGATCTTTGCTCTGTCTGGCACTGGTGGCAAAGCTTTGTCCAGAGCTCCAGTGGTGCCCACTGCCGGCCCAAGTTTGCCAGCTTCCTGAGTTCTGACTTCTACAAGTCACTTGAGACTGAGGTTTCTGTAATACTTGGTTCCTCATGAGGGCTCTTGCAGTCTTACAGAACTTCAGCCAAATTGAGGGACCCAGGTGTGGTTCCTTTAAAGAACAGAAAGTTGGGCTTACTCTGCATTCCCCAAGCACAAAATGCTGGGTTCATACATGCATCCCCACGTCACAAAGTGGAAGGAGCATTAATTATAAGTGGCTTGAAGAACAACCCAGAATTCCAGATGTTGTGAGCTCATTGTGCCCCTGTTCTTGGACTGCATGTGCAATTAGCACCTTTATTTTATTGCTTGCACCTACGTTTGGACTTCTGAGTTAGACAATAAAAGTAACAATAGAGGAAAAAAAGAAAGAAGCATTGAAAGTTTGATGAAGGGAGTTCCATCAACCTGTGCCCACCCTATCTTATCCTGCTTATCCTGGGCATTCAAGCAAGCTGTAAAAGAAAATAGGTATAGATGCAGGAGGTGATGGTCACATAGATAAAAATGGAGAGGGACAGAAAATGGTTGACTTGGCAGCTCTTACCACTTTTGGCACCTCTTCATTGGTTGGGGTCCATGGCAGCCTTCAGTGATTGTCTGGCTCAGGCTTTCTGTGCCTTTAGGTACTCTGGCATCAGTGGGACCTCTTCCAAGGCTGGTTTATCAAACAAGCCTTTGGACACTGAGTTGGGGTCCAGGTGAATCCCCTTGAGACACTATTATTTATGATAAGAGAAGCTGTTAGCCACCTAACTATCAGTTAGGTCCGAAAAGTCACTGGATTAAATCTGAGCACATTCGGAAGAAGATAAATTTAAGGATGCTTCTGTAAAATACCTTCTCAGAGAAAGAGAAACTACATTTACAGAATGTAATTTCTTACCTACCTATATTGAGATTATAAGCAAAACTAAATGTAATTAATTTTATAAAGACCCTTTTTTTTTTATGCTTTTCTCTAGACCAGGGAGTAAATTGTTTTTGTTATATCTGCAAGACAGCATGACAAACAGCAGAACAAGCATTTGAAGGGAGATCAGTTTTTAATTGCCCTAAAATAAGGCAAATATTATTCTCATTTTATATTTAAGCAAACTAAGGTTTTAGAGAGGCTGAGTTTTTAATATTGTTAATGCTTTTAAATAGCAAAAATTATAACCTTACCAATCCTGATTTCTACATAGTTTCTTCTTAATCTTCTAACTCTTAGTGGCAAAGGGGTTTTTTTTAATTGTTGTTGTTGTTTCATTTTTTTTGTTTGTTTATTTTTGGTGCAGGGAATCAGATCCAGTGCCTCATCCATGCTAGGCAAGCACTCTACCATTGAGCTATATACCCAGCCTGATAAGGTCTTTTTTATCACTGTGTTGTGATGTGTTAAGTCTTTGGTCTTTGTTTTACCATTTAGAATCTGTAAGACTTTGTAAAAGCCTTTTTGTTTTTCTGAATCTTTGTTCATCTGTATCTCTATGGAGAATAGTTCAGTATTGAGGGGTAAATGAGATAATGCATACCTGACTTATAGTAAAATTCCCCATCTCCTTTTTTTTTTAGACAGATGGAAGTACTTTTTAAAGTACTGTGTAAATGTAAGTTGGGATTAGATGAATTATGTTATTCATGCTGCCTGTGCCTAAATATGTGCTAAGCACGGTGTTTGATGCTGGAGATGCAAAAAGAACTCAATTCTCTTAGTTTGTTATAAAGTGAGGAAAATCAGACCTGTAAACATTTAAATTTACCTCAGAATGATACATTCTGTGTATATGTTGTGTATCTATATAGTAGACATCATTCATCCACAAAAAGGAAGAAGTACTGATACATGCCAAACATAAGGCTACATGATGTCATTTATATTAACATGTGAAGAATAGGCAAATCCATAGAGAAAGCAAGTGGATTCATGGCCACCAAAGGGAATTGGGAGGTACAGACTTCTGAAATTTAGATAATGATGATGGTTGCACAACCTTACATTTAAACTAAAAACTACTGAATTATATGTGTTAACATGGTGAATTTTATGTTAAAGAGTTTTTAACAAAAAATTTGAAATATGATAGAATAGCATAGATATTTGGGTGAATTTGACAAGGCTTTTCAGAAGGGGTAGCATTTCACTTTTTTGATATGTCATGTAGAAATTGTTAACTATAGGTCAGTACATTTAAGGAAAGACACTAAGTTGAGAAAGATCACAAAAAAATATCTGAGGTTCATGGTAATTGAAGTCTGAACAGTCTGCACTGGGAAGAGAAGAATAAATTGTCAAATTGTGATTGGCTTTATATGTTAAGCATTGTTACTTGAAGTTGTTATATAATCTCATTTTATTACTTAAGAAAACAAATGTGGAACATTCTGAAAATGCTATAGAAACAGGTATCATCTATATCAGTTCTAAATGAACTCTTAGTTGTGACTCCTTCACTAACTTATAATTTCATTAATAATCTGAGAAAGTAGGTTATCATTATTCCCAAAACTTTAGTGTTTGGCTCATGCTAATATTTTGGGTAGGAGGGCAATACTGGGGTTTGAATTCAGGGCTTCACACTTGATAGGCAGATGCTCTACCACTTGAGCTGCACCCCACCAGCCATTTTTGCTCTGGTTATTTTTAGATGTAAGGTTTCATTTTTTGCTCAGGCCTGCTTAGAACACCATCCTTCTATGTTAGGCTTTCTTTCCCCGAGTACCTGGGATGACAGGCTCCCTCTACCATGCCCAACTTTTTTCCTTTGAGATGCTATCTCCTGTATTTTTTTTTTTTTTTTTTTTGCCTGGGCAGGCCTGGAAGTAAAATCCTCCTGATCTCAGACTCCCACAGAGGTTGGGATGATAGAGCTACCAGCACCCAGCTTGACTACTGGTAATTAATGCTTACCAACTGATGGATAAATATAAGCTAGTATCTGTTCTCTTTTTTTCCAGAGTGATTTGGATTGCACAGAAATTGAATAATTAATGGCTGGGTCTCAGTTTTTCTTGAAAATAAGATTTTTGGGTTAATCAAAACACAATTTCTATGGCCTAGGATATTTTTTTTTTCATGGAACTGGTGGTTGAACTCAGTCATGCCGCTGACCCAAGATTTTTTGTTTCTATGTTTTCTTAAACTGAATATATATATTGTCATGCTTATTTTATAAAGCAAAACTATTACAAACTAAATTCTTTTTCATAATATAGGAAAGTGGACAGAACATACTCATATGTTGTATTAGTAGTTTTAATTTTTAAAGCATTTTTCAAATCCAGCATCACAGCTGCATTTTAAAACATGTCTGGCAAATCAGTTGACGTGGTAGCTGGAGAGATGAGGTAAAATGAATTAGAGAAAAAGATAGTTCCATCTTCATTCACACATAAGTGGGGGTCTTAACATTCTTGTTTTAAGGGAGTTGAAACTTCAAGAGATATCTAGCAGGTAAATGGTTTTCTGATTTTTAAGGCCAGTGCCATACATTTGAATTAAAATAGAATTTTCCTTGATGCGTCTTTTTCGTTTTTCAGAGATTGAAGCCAACAAATCCAGCAGCCCAGAAGGCTCTTACCACACCTACTCATTATAAACTGACACCACGCCCTGCCACCAGAGTCAGGCCAAAGGCTTTACAAACAACAGGCACAGCGAAATCACATCTCTTTGATGGACTGGATGATGATGAACCATCCCTAGCCAATGGAGCATTCATGCCCAAGTGAGTTTATTTTTGTTAACTCAAGTTTGGTGTAAAATACTAAAATAAACTAAATATGAAATAACACATAATCATTTAAATGTAGTACACATGATAAAGTTCGCTTTTTTTCAGGTAGGAGAGAGTATTTGAATAGGGTCTTCTTATGTTGTCCAGACTGACTTTGAACTAGAGATCATCCTGGCTCAGCCTCTCAAATGCTGGGATTACAGCTTGTATTCCTTTATCCAGCCCAGTGTACTCTTTTATATTTAAAAAATAGAAGATACGGCAGAGAATAAAAATGATTTAATCATTCCCAGGAATAACCATGGTTAACATAAAAGTATGTTGGTAAATATGCTTCTAGTTTTACATGTATGTGTTTTTGAGAAATAAGTACTTTTGTTTTTTTGGAAAATTCAATAATTCAGTATGGTCAGGGGCTGGAGCTCTAGCTTGGTGATAGAGTACTTGCCTAGCATGACAAGGCTCCGGGTTTGGTCTCCCCAGTATTGCAAAAATATTAATACTAATTTTAAAAAGGTGAGGGTGGGAGGTGTGGATTAATAAAATACCAGATAATAAAGTTTTGATTGATTATAATGAAAATAAAATACAGAAAAAATTGTAGGAAAGTGTATATAACTGTTGCTAAGCATAGAAAAATCCGCTGAAATGATGCCCTAGAGTGATAATGTATGCATGAGAAAAGGTCTGAAGAAAATTACACACCAAACTGTTAACATCATTTAACATCAGGAGAAGTAATGTCAGGGCATTTCAATTTTGAGTTGTTTATTCTTCTAGATAAGTAGTTAGGCACTTTTATTTTTTTTGGTTAAAAAAATACTTTTCTAATGAGAAAAAAATGGATGGTTTTTTGTTTTCTTTTGATAAGCTTTAGAAAAAGGTAGATATTCATTGCCTACAACTCTATAAATGTTAAGTTAAAGCCACTGTATCTGCTGTGTCTCTTTCCAACACTCCCAGCACCTGGGGATTGAACCCAGGGTTTCACACTATGTGCTATGGCCCCAGCCCTTGCTCCTACTATTCTTAAAAATACAGTACGGTGCTTCTTTACAAAAAATGGAAAGTCCAATTTCACACATTTCTTAGTAAACAATTATTTTGATGGCAGAAACTATTATTCATGTGCATGTCCTAGCATTTTTTTATAGAGCAGTTAAAAAAACAACTTTGGGTATACTAATCCACCCCTCAGATTAGTAGCTCCTAGGGCAATTTTATCAAGTCTTTTTAGGATTTGCAAGTACGTTATAGAAATTGACCTAAGCTATGGGGCATTTTATTATTAATACCACATGTCCTCCTTGGGTCCACTTCTGTAGTGTTGCTGTCAAAAATTTTAATGTATCAAATGCATTTTACACTGTTGATATCTTCCTTTCTCCTTGACTGACTTATTTAATTAGCTTCCAGTAGTTTCTTCTTCCTTCCTCACTGGCCATTCCTTCTCCATGGCTCACTTTGTGATCACACTTTCTTTGTCCCTGCTCATTTCTGAAATACCTTGATTCAGTCTAATGACTTTTAAGTATCATCTATAGTTTGATTTTTCCCAATTTTTTTATCTCCATCCAGCCCAAATTGCTTTCCCAAACTCCAGTATTTTTTGTTTGATTGTTTGGGTGTTTTTTTTGTGGTAGTACTTGGGTTTGAACTCTGCTTGAGCCACACCTCTAGTCCATTTGAGAGAGGGGGCTCACGAACTATTTGCCTGGGTTAGCCATAAACATCTATTCATCTCTTCACCACAGTATTCTGTGCTCTGTGAAAGAATCCATCGTAAATCCTCACTGCCAAAATAGAGACATAAAGAGGAAGGAATTTTAAAGAAAGAAAACATTTATTATTATTATTATTATTATTATTATTATTATTATAAGTTCAGAAAGATAGTGGTTCCAGACTAACCCAGCCAAAAATTTGTGAGACCCCCCCATCTCAACCAATAGCTGGGCACAGTGGGGCACATCTGCCATCCCAAGATACACAGGAGGCTGAGATTCAGGGAATCCAGGTTCGTGGGCACCTGGGCAGAAAACTTCACGAGACCCAGCCCCTCAACAGAAAAAAGCTGGTCGTAGTGGCATTGCTCCTCTAATCCCAGTGATGGTGGGAAACATAAAATAGGATTTCAGTTTACCCCAAAAAGGGCAGGAGACATGGCTGAAGTAGTAGAATACCTGCCTAGCAAGTGCAAGTGCAAAGCCCTGAATTCACTTCCACATACCACATATATAATCAATGAGTGATGGGTGATAATTGTTCAAGGGGTTCACAGGAGAAAGAGGATTTTCAAGGGGATTTTTCCACTTTGATTTGAATATCTTTAGCTTTATTCTTCCAAACACTGTAGAACAATGTATTTGAGGGTTTATGTTCTGGTTCTAGGAAGAGTTTATAAGTGAAACTTGCTTCAGATAATTTTTAGGTTTACAGGAATGCCTTTCTGGGTATTTGTTTTTAAGATAATGTCTGTAATATAACTTTGTATCTTGACTTAATTCTTCTTTTTTCTGTTTGTCTCTGTATATAGGAAAAGCATTAAGAAGTTAGTTCTGAAGAACCTGAACAATAGCAATCTCTTTTCTCCTGTTAATCGTGATTCAGAAGATCTAGCTTCACCAGCTGAATATCCAGAAAATGGAGATAGGTAAACGAATTCTGTTTTGAGTTGTTTCTGTTAAAGAGACTCTCATTTTTTAAGAGATTTCTGAGCCTAGAATTTAATGAAAATTTATAAAGATTGGTGAATGTTTTATAGCTCAGGGGCACCTAGCTGTGGGTATATATTTTTATTTCTCGAGTACTTTGTTTTGTGGTACTGGGGCTTGAATTCAGGGCCTTGAGCTCGTTAGGCTAGCACTCTGCCACTGAAGCCATGCCTCCAGCCTCATGTGTACTTTAAATCTTAAAATAATAGTTGTTTTTGTTCAGTTACACAGAACTAGTTTGGTATCCATGTGTATTGTTTTCAAAACAATTAACATACATTCGACACATTTTGGCATACCCCTTTAACTTTCCCAAGTTAAGGGGTATTTTGTCTGTGGTGATTATTAAAGTACTACTCAGCCATTGTAACCAAACAAAATCAATAGAGTGTACAAAGGAGGAAGTGAATGTATATATAGCATTCCTTAAGTTTTTGGTATGTATTCTTTCACTTTAGTAAGTTGTTTACTTAGAAATAAGTTCTTAAGGATATATTTTGTAAAAATCATGCATGAATGGTATGGTATTCTGTAACTTGCTTATGTCTGTTATTGTCTAAATGTCTTTCCCTATCTGTATGAATATATCTGCCTCCTCATCTCTTTATTTCCCTTTAGTGGAATTGGAATTTAAACTTGGCTTCACACATCTCCAGTCCATTTAGCTCTGGTTATTTTGATGATGGGATCTCAAAAACTATTTGCCCAGTCTGACCATGAACCTCCATCCTCCCATTCTCACCCTCCCAAGTTACTAGGATTATAGACATGAGCCACCCATCATGCCCAGCTTGCCTCCTCATTTTTAATGGTTGCATAATCATTTCAGTGGATATAAGATAATTCAACCAATTCTCCATTAGTGTACATTTAGATTATTTAATATTCCTTTACTCAAAATAATGCCTCAGTAAAAATACCCTGTTTTCTGTTTGAATAAAATCTAATGCAATGTTTAAGAAAGTCTTTCCTAAGACCTAGGGATTGTAATACTGTAAGCATAAAATTTTGTGGTTTTTTTAATCTTGAAATTAACCATTAATTATTTTTTCCTACATAGTTGAGAACGCTTTTGTTTTAAATGAAAATTTGAGGTGCTCAGATCATGGAAATAAAACAGTTAAATGCAGGTGATCTAGAGCTAAATTTCTGCACTAAAATCCCAAGTCTAGTACTCTCAGCTTTACAATATTTGGCAAGGTGTTTTTTTCTGTGCCTTAGTGTCCTATTTTATAAAATAGCATAATTACAACCTGTTTCAAAGGATTGCTACAAATATTAAATTTTTTTTTTTTTTTTCCAGAACTGGGGTTTGGTTTGAACTTAGGGCCTACACTTTGAGCCACTCCACCAGCCTTTGTTGTGATGGCTTTTATTCAAGATAGGGTCTCAAACTATTTGCCCAGGCTGGCTTTAAGCCATGGTTCTCCTGATCTCTGCCTCTTGAGTAGCTGGGATTACAGGCATGAGCCACTGGTGCCCAGCTAAATTAACTTTTAATGCATGCAGTTATAAAGATACTTAGTAAAGGTTCACTACTGTCATTGTTATTAATGTTACAAGGCACTAATATATTTGTGTCTTTTATCCCTTCTCAGATTTAGTTTCCTGAGCAAACCTGTTGATGAAAACCATCAGCAATATGGAGAGGATGATTCTCTTGTGTCACGTTTCTACACTAACCCTATTGCTAAACCCATTCCTCAAACCCCAGAGAGTGTTGGAAATAAACACAATAATAGCAACAGTGTGGATGATACCATTGTTGCATTGAACATGCGTGTTGCTTTGCGAAATGGGCTAGAAGGAAGCAGTGAAGAAACCTCTTTCCATGATGAGTCACTGCAAGATGACCGAGAAGAAGCAGAAACTAATGCTTATCATATCCATCCAGCAGGTCAGATTCACATGCTTTTTATACCTTTGGAATAGTTAACAGTTGTCCTGGTGTAGTTTTAAAAAGCCTAAATTTCATAGCCAATGAGACTAACCCAATATTTTCCCTAACTTTGTAAATTCAGGTAGATTGCTTATTAGTTTTTAAATTAAAATAAGAATGATAAATATTTTCTACTGCATAGTTAGCCAGATTTGACAGTAATGATTGACATATATCAGGCATTTAAGTGGTAACTTGACACTTACATCCTCAGGTGTCCAACACCCCAAATAAGGTGACTTTGTTTTTACCCTGGAATGTTCCTATGTGACCCCATTCCCAAAAATCAAACAAAGTTCTCATTTTTGTCACAGAGTGTTCTTTTACCTAAATCTTGCATTTCATGTAAATGGAGCCATCCTATATATGCTCTTTTGTTTTTGTTTCAAGATGGGGATTTTACCATTTTGTCCAGATTGGTCTTGAGCTTCTGGACTCAAGTCATATTCCCACATCAGTTACGGGATTACAAGTGCATGCCACTACACCCAGCTATATGTTCTCTTCCCCTCAAGGCCCCCACTTTGCTGAGATAGTGGATGTCACCTCAGGGCCACATCCTCAGTCCTTTTGATTTTTTTTTTACTGTTTTTTTGAGGTGGGTTTTACATTTTTGTCCAGCACTGCCATCAGATCACAATCCTAAAACCTTTTCCTTCTGTTTAGCTAAATTACCACACCAAGCTTATTTTTGAGACAGGGTCTTGCTGACTTTCCTGGGCTGGCCTTGAACTATATTTCTCCTGTGTCCACCTTTGGAGTAGCTAAAAGTTCTTTTTTAATTCAATAAAATCTTTATGATTTTATCCATGATACATACATCACAGCTCATGTTTTTATTGCTATATATATTCCATTATATGGGGAAAATTACATAAAAATACAGCTTTCTTTTTTAATCCTTTTTTGTTAATGAACATTTAGATTGATTTACAGTCATTTTTGAAGTGTCTAAAATTTTTCTCTTTTGCTTTCCAAAATATATAATGGTGCCCCTAGGAAACAACTTTGTACTTTCACATTAAGATTTCCACATAACTATATTTGTGTTTGTTTATCTATATAGGTTTATTATGATATTACACCTTTTTTTTCAAATAGCCAGTCAATGCTGTTTTTGTTTTTGCTCTTTTCCCTATTTTCTCATTCACCTTGTTTGCTGCCGCTAAATGTAGAGTCCTCTTCCCGAGGGCACTTTTATCAAATGAATTCTAAACTCTGCCAGTAAAGAAGCAGGTATACAAGCACTGCAAGATGCTGGAGTTTAATCTGCTGTCAGTCTTAAAGACTTTTCTCACAGATAGCAAGTTAGCCTGATATCTAACTACAAATAGGACAAAACATAATTAGAACAAGCATATTATCTTTTCATCACATCTGGCTCTCACTTTTTAGTGTGTTCTGAAACTCTATTTTAGTATTTCTTTTCCTTGGGACACCAAAATGTCATTTAGGTAACTCTGAAATAAGTATTATTTTTTTAAACTAATACTTATTGCAGGTCTGTAAGTTTCCATTTATGTATGGGAGTTTGTCATAGATGATTTTTCATCTTGATTTTAGCTCTCCCTTTGGACATGTAAATTTGAAATGTGCAAGAGGATTATGAGGCAAGATGCTATAAAACAAAAACTACTGAGTGTGGAATTTTGTCTTAACCTGTATCACTAAATTACAGTGTAAGCCAAGGCAGATTTTCCCAGCCTGGGTTTGGTATTCTTGTGTGTAAAATAAAAAGAAAAGTAGGTGAAGAAAGATTTTCCTAAAGTGTGTTCTATGGAATATCTTTCATAGTTAGGATGTTAAGAGACTTCTGTGGTAAATTAAGTTACACCAAATTAAGTAGACATCATAGTTTAAATTTTCAGAATCTGTAATATGTCATTTGTATGTATGTTCCTCAGACTTACTTTGCTGTGTAGCCTCTTTTTTTAAAACAAACAAACAAACAAAGCCACACATGGTTCTCTTATAATTTTGGGTGATAGAAAACAAGTTTGGAAAAATCCTTTATTGCTATATATTCTCTTTTTATATGGTCATTTACTGAGTATTCCTGATAATTTCTAAAATTTTTTGAGTTTTAAAAAGAAAGAGTAGAATAAATATTACTTAGAATTGTTCTACCCAAGGATAATCACGATTAATATTTCCAATTTTTTTCGTCAGGCATTGTTCTCACTAAAGTTGGTTACTATACTATTCCATCTATGGATGACCTTGCTAAAATTACCAATGAAAAAGGAGAGTGCATTGTTTCTGACTTCACTATTGGTCGTAAAGGTGAGTGTGAGATTAGAAGTTAGTGTATACACCAGAAATTTGCACCCTGCTTTTGTAATTAAGGGAAGCTTTTCATAGCCGAACCTTTTGTTTTTCTTTTATGTTTGGGTCTCCCTTGGCAATGAATATAGTAGAAACTTTGATTAGCAGATAACAAAACAAAGTCTAGTACAATATAACATTTTTGGGGGCTTGGGAATACCTGTTTGAGGGGGCAACTGTGGGACTCATTGCCATTTTTTACAATTAAAGAAAAAATTGGAAATATCAAGTATTAGGTAAGAAAATTGAATAATTGACTGGATATTTAATACTCAGGTTCTACTTTGTATTATTAAATTATTACATTTGCAGATAACTGATTTTCTTGGAGGAAAAAATCTTATTTTGTTATATTATATTAAATGACTGAGGTATTTTAAAATACATGGCAGGCTAAGCACTAAGGTTTACTTACATAGTAGTATTGCAAATACTTGGGATGATATTTAAAGATGTTTTGAGGCAACCAGAAGTGTTGTAAAATTGCAGATGAAATGTATTTAATGCCACACTGTCTATTCCCTCTTTGCCATATTGTGGAGGAATGATCCATTCCAAGAATTATTGGATGATTTTAACTATTGACTAATATTTAAAAGTGTTCCTTCTAATTGTTTAATTGCTGTGTGTTTGCTCCTTCATACAGTATGACTTTTAAACTGTTTTCTCTGTCTTGTAGGCTATGGCTCAATCTATTTTGAAGGAGATGTGAATTTGACCAATTTAAACTTGGATGACATTGTGCATATCCGAAGGAAAGAAGTTATTGTTTACTTAGATGATAACCAAAAACCACCTGTGGGTGAAGGGCTAAATAGGTATGAATTTATTTACGTATCAAAAATAAATCAAGTAGCCAGACACCAGTAGCACCCAAATACTAAGAAGGCTAAGGCAGGAGGACTGTGAGTTCAAGGCCAGCCTGAGCTACATAGTGAGTTCTGTAGCAGGCTGATAGGATCTAGAAAGACCCTGTGCAAAAAATCAAAAACAACTACTTGGGAGATGGATGATCTAGTTGAAGACCAGCCCAGGCAAAAAATTAGCAAGGCCTCCATCTCAATAAATCCTGGGTGTGATGGCATACACCTGTCAGGTCATCCATGCAGGAAGCATAAGAGGATTGCAATCCAGGCTGGCCTGGGCATAAATATGTGGCCCTGTTCCAAAAATAGCTAAAATAGAAAAGCCTAGGGACAGAGCTCAAGTGCCTAGAAAATGAGAGGACCTGAATTCAACCCTCAAAACCACTAAGCAAAAGGATCGACTAAATCACAGTTTTTTTCTATATAAACATGAGTGAGTTTCTGCAACTTGTTTTCCTGATATGATGTAAAGTATAATTACCATTTTTCTACCGTTATTTAATAGTATAACAATATTTGGCCTTTTTTGTTAGTTTTAGGATTTGAACTCAGGCTTTGTACTTGCTAACCAGTGCTCTGCTGCTTGAGCTACAACTCACCCAAAAGTATAATAATAAAGAAATGATGCACTATTGACTATAAGACTCACATCTTTCCTCTAATACTATCAAGTCTGACTTCCAGTCTCAAAAATCTTTTCAATACTGTTCTTTGGGTTTTTGGGTTTTTTTTTTTTAACCTTGTTTCTGCTATTGCCATACTTAGCTCTCTGTTTTAGTGTTGTTCAGTCTAGTCTTTAATTAATCTTTTCAGGCAAATGAAAGGTTTATAGTTAAAATTATTTCTATTTGTAACTGACCAAGCCTGAATTATGGAAAAATAGACAAGTAAAAGTATAACAAGAGATTGAATCAATCAGTAATCACAAATCTCCCAAAAGCCATGTGCAAGTCACTCATGCCTGTAATCCTAGCTATTTGAGAGGTTGAGATTGGGAGGATCTCGGTTCAAGGCCAGCCTGGGTGAGATCGCCATCTCCAAAATATCCTGAGCAAAAATAGACTACAGTTTGGCTCAAATGGTAGAGTGTTTGCTTTGCAAGTGTGTAGCCTTGAGTTCAAATGATAGTACCATCAAAAAAAAAAAAAAAAAGTCAGGACCAGATGGTGTCACTAATTAATTCTACCAAACATTTAAAGAAGGATTAATACCAGTTCTCCAGCTCTTCAAAAACATTGATGGGAACTCTTCCAGATTCATTCTATGGGATGATAATTTCCTGATTCTAAAGCCAGTCAGATACTACAAGGAAATAAAACTACAAACTATAAACCAATATATTTAGTGTTGTATTGATATAAAAATCATTGGCAAAAACACTAGCAAACAGTTTAATGGCATATTAAGAGAAGTATAGCTGGAAACTGGATATGGTGGCAGATCCCTTTAATCACAGAGCTTGGGAGACAGAGGCAAGAGAATGGAGAGTTCTAGACTAATCTAAATGGTCAGGCCCTGTTGGAATAAACAAAAGGGAATTACACACAATAATTTATAATAAATAAATATTATATAATGTATTATTAATAAATAATTTATTAAATCTTAATAAAATAAGATTTTGGAATGCAAGAGTGGTTCAACATAGGAAAATCATTCAGTGTAATACACCATTTTAATAGAATAAAGGTACCATAACACATGATTATGTTAATAAATACAGAACAAGCATTTCACAAAATTAAACACCCTTTCATAATAAAAAGCATTCATTAAATTTGAGATAGAAGGAATCTACCATAATATAATAAAGGCCATATATTGGTTAGTTCCCTGCACTGGGAAAAAAAAAAAATGTATATGAAAAATCCACAATTTGTATCATAATGTTGAAATACTGAAAGCTTTCCCTTTAAGATAAAAGAGTCCTGCCTTTACCTCATAAACATAGTATTAGAAGTCCCACTCAGAGTAATTAGGCAAGAAAAAAATTTAATAAACAGCATATAATTTTGAAGGAAGTAAATTCTCTGTTCTCCAGTGACATGATTTTATATAGAAAGAACCCTAAAACCTTCACACAAAAAACTGTTAGTATGTATAAATAAATTGGGCATTGTTAGAGGGTATAAAATCACCATGTAAAAATCAGTTATCTTTCTGCACACTAGCAATTAACAATCTGAAAAGAAAAACCAAGAAAGCAAATGCATTTATAATAGCATCAGAAAGAATAAAATAACACGAATAACAACCAAGGACATGAAAAACTTACATACTGAGAACTATAGAACATTACTAAAGGAAGTTAAAGAAGACACAGATAACTGAAAGACATACCATATTTGTGGGTTGGATGGTTTGATATCTTTAAAATGTCAATATAGTTGTCCTTTGGTATCCGTGGGAGACTGGTTCCAGTATCCCGTCCCCTATAGATACCAACATCCTTACATAACATAGCATGCCATTTTCAAATACCTATGCATAGATACTGTAAGTCATTTCCGGCTTATAATGCCTATTATTCGATAAATGTTCTACAAATAGTTTTTATATTGTATTATTTAGGGAATAGTAGCAAGAAAAATAGTCTTCAGTTTTTCACTAAGATACAATTGGGGCACTGGTGGAGTGACTCAAATGGTAGAGCACCTGCCTACGAGCATGAACCCTTGAGTTAAAGCCCTAGTTCTGCTAAATAAAATAAAGTAAAATGTAGTCCATCTCTGAGATACAGTTGGGGTTTTTTCCCCTGAATATTTCTGGTCTGTGACTGATGGAATTCATGGATACACAACCCTCATACTGGACACCAACTATGTATTCAAAAGAATTTAAAGCTGGATCTTAAAAGGTTTTTGTACACCCATGTTCATGGCAGCACTATTCATAATAGTCAAGAATTGAAAACAGCATTGTAAGAACCTTTGTAAACGCTGCTATGTACCCCCACCCAGCACAATGAAGAGAAAAAAAGAATTGAAAACATACGCATTTAATAAAATACTCCGCCTTTAAAAAGAAAGGAATTGGTCCATGCATGGTGGCTCAGTTCTTTAATCCCAGCTATTCTGGAGGCAGAGATCAAGAGGATTGTGATTAGAGGTCAGCCTAGGCAAAAGACATTCTAAAAACATGTCTTAACCAATAGCTGGATATGGTGACATATACCTCTCATCCCAGCTATGCTCTGAAGCACAAATAAGATCACGGTCCAGACTAGCCCTGACATAAAGTGAAACCCTATCTCAAAATTAATCAAATAGTGGTTCCAAGGAACTGGGGGAAGGAAAATGAGTTGTTTAATGATATATTATTTTCTGTTTTCAGTAATACAATCTATAGAGTGGGTGAGGTATAAAAAAAGGAAGTTTGTTTTGGTTTACTGTTCTAGAGGTGCAAAGGTCAAGATTGAGCAGCCAGTCTTGCTGATGGTTGGTTTGTTGTCTTAGTCCAGGTAGTGTAGGGTATCACATGGCAAGAGATAGGGAGGGCAGGTATATGTGTGTCTCACTACTCTCTCTGGCTCTTATAAAGCCACCAGGATTCAGTCATGGGGGCTCCACCCTAATGACCTTATCTAATCCTAATCATTTTCCAAAATGCTTTCCTCAGACATGGATTAGCTAATAGCTCACCACTGGAATTAAATTCAGGACATGTAAACTTGGGGGATACTCTAAATCATAGCATTAGAGTTTCAGTTTTACAAGATGAAGAAGTGAAAACTACCATCATAGATTATTTTCATTTGGAAAAGAAAAACAAATAAAAGAGGGAAGTGTTTAAAAATAACAGTAAAAATAATCTGTAGAGTAATGATTCAAACAAGATGACAGTTTTTTAATTGTCAAAAATACGAATGTACATAACACTGCTGAAATGTACAGTTAGAATTCCTTAAGATGATAAATTTCAGGTTAGGTCTTATATACCGCAATAAAAAGTAATAATTAAGAAATAGCTACATAATCACATTCTACTTTGTATCCAGGATGTAAGGCTTACAAAATGAATAGGACATTGCTTGAACTTGTATTAATAGAAGTGATAGATGGTGACTCTTCACACATTTTCTCTTTTTTTGGTGGTGCTGGAGTTTGAACTCAGGGCTTCAAGCTTGCCTCACTAGTGGTCTTAACATTTGAACCACACCCCCAGCTCTTTTTGCTCTGGTTATTTTGGAGATAGCATCTGGCTTTTTGCCTAGGCTGGCCTGACCAATCTCCTATTTCATGCTTTTCACTGTACTTGGATGACAGGCATGTACCACCGCACTCAGCTTTTTTTCATTTAGACGGGGTTTTGGGAATTTTTTTTTCTTTTTGCCCTGGCTGTTCTGGAACCTTGGTCCTCCTAATTTCAGCCTCGGGTGGCTGAGATAAAGGCATGACTCACCGTGCACAGCTGTTCGTTAAGATGGGCTCTCTCAAACTTTTTGGCCCATGTTGGCCTCGAGAGTCTCACTGTCCCAAGTAGCTAGGATTACAGGCATGAGCCACCAGTGGCTGGCTCCAAAAATCAATACCGTGATGTTCCTGATACAAGCATTTGTTATTAGTAATTTCTGGGTACTGTTTTTGTCTTGTAGTGTTGAGGATCAAACTCAGGGCCTTATTCATGCTAAGGTATACACTATACCACCAAGCTATGACCCCAGCCCAGTAGCTGTTAACTTCCATTGTTAGGAACAGTAGTACTTTCAGGGCCTATACTAATACAGTCTTAACACACAGATTGTGACCTAAATAACTTAGTTATTTATACATTAAATGCTGCTCAAATTAGATTGTAAATAATTTATATACCATGATAGCTTAAAGTAAACTGAGTTAGTTGATGTGGGAGTGATTCCTTGTTCTTAACCTTAACTACTGTGAGAACAGTATCAAACACCTATAGAACAATTCCAAGGTAACAGCTACCTTTATTTTTGATTTATTTAGGTGTTAGTTGGCTTTCTGTTTTTAGTTGTGAAATATTTATACTGTTTTGGTTATACTTTCTAGGAAAGCTGAAGTTACATTGGATGGAGTTTGGCCAACAGATAAAACATCCCGTTGTTTAATCAAGAGCCCTGATCGGCTTGCTGATATCAACTATGAGGGAAGATTGGAAGCAGTTTCAAGGAAACAGGGAGCTCAATTCAAGGAGTATAGGCCTGAAACTGGTTCTTGGGTATTTAAGGTATAGTCATATAGCTCAGTATTCTGACTTAAAAACTATTAGAGTCACAAAATGTTTGTGATTCATCAGGCATGTTTGTCTCTTGGTAGATCAGATCTTCCTAAATAATTTTCATTTTTAAACATTTTGGGGAATGGAGATACTGACTTTTTGCTCACTTTGATAATTTTACCCAGTGATTTATTCCTCTTCTAGGGTAGGTTGGTTAATTTAACTACTGAAGGCTCTTACATAGCTAGAGAAGAATTAAATGACATATGTAACAACTCTTAGATTTATTTTCCTATAATAATGATTGCATTTTAAATGACATTTTAATGTATATTATATAATCCATACTCATTATATAAGCAACTAGTATATGCACCAAACATCATCTAAATCTTAGAAAAATAGCAAACTATGCTAGGTGATGTTCCATTTTGCTTTAAATATTTTATTTCCTTTCTTTGTTTTGTAAGGTAATGCTGCAATGGCAGATATTGTGAAAACTTATAAATAGAGCACTGTTAATGTTGTCTTTGTTGGGTTCTTTTCTTCATTAGGTCTCCCATTTTTCTAAATATGGCCTTCAAGATTCTGATGAAGAAGAGGAGGAACGTCCATCTAAAAGTAGTTCAAAGAAGTTAAAGACTGCCCCTTTGCCTCCTGAAGGACAGACTACCCCTTTCCAGATGGCTCTCAATGGCAAACCAGCACCTCCACCTCAGGTAGAGAAAGGACAGTGAATTTGAATGGAATCCATGATACAGAAGTTCAGAGCAAGTCATTCTGCTATTACAAAGCTATTTTATGACCTCTGGAACTTACTTTGAAGAGTACAAATGTATTGGCAATCGCATTGAGAAGTACAAGGGAGGGCATGAGGTGTGCAGGCATCTGTTTTTTACATTAGAGAACTAAAAAATTCTCTTCCTATTTGGATCATTCTACAGATTGTTATTCTCAAACACTTCCCTTTCTTATTTGGACTTGTAATTCTCTGATCAGTAATCCATTTAAGATAGCTTTTTATTTGTGTGGGTTGATGCAAAGTAAATCCTACCTTTATTGATTAACTGATGTGTAGTTTAATCTTGTTCTTTACCTCATGGTTTCTCAAAAGCTAAAATTAGCTTTTGGCAAGAGTTTTTAACTCCACTTTCTCAGATTGTTTGCTTATACTTCAGGTAAACTCTTGATATTATTTGTATTTTAATAATCTTTATGAAAATTGGTAATTTTAGAATGCAAATGAATTACTTAGCTTGGAGAGAAGCAGAGCTGCATTATTCATTGCAATTATTTGTATCATAGTCTTTTTCAGTATTGTTAAGCCAAAATAAACCTTTGTCCTTATAGGGAAAGGTTTGTAATTTATATATTAGGTTTCTTTGAATGCCAACTCATAAAAAGATTTACTATAATTTGGATGTTGTTCATATTCAGCCAAGTTATAAAAATATTTTTTTCTTGTCACACTCTCTCAAAGAATTCTTGATATGGGACTTCTTTATAAGGCACATCCTACCTCTCATCTGTTAAAAGCAGGACCTTTGGAATTTCCCATGCTACGATTCTTATGGCTGCTGATATGTGTGATTTTTATGATTTATTAAATAATTTCTTGGGAGGCATTTTCTGGAGAATGTTATGTATGTCCACATTTGTTCGTACAGGTTGAAGGGGGAGGGCATACTAAAAGCGGGAAACTGAAACTGTTGACTTAACTTTATAATCTTTATAGTATTTAGAATAACCTTAGAAAATCTCTACTTAAGAAATGAATAAATGAAAATTAAATTAAACTAAAATAAATAAATAAATTCACAGACATGTTACACTGAAAAAAAAATGCTGTAAATGAACTTGGTTTTTATTTATCCATGTTCATTTTGTCCTAGTTGTATACTTTATTCATTCTTATTTTCCTTCTAAAGTTTTTTCCTTTTTATCATACGTTATGTATATTTCTTAGGGAAGGAGTGAGACTTCTTTTTCTGCTTATTAACTGCTTTGGTTGAGGAAGCTGATGGTTTTTGTCCTTTTTTTGGACAGAGAACAGAAATGAGAGAGATGGATAGAGATGTTCAGATATCTGAGGTTTAGGTTTTGTTTTTGTGCCTTACTTATGAAGATCTTCTACTTTTTTTGTTAGATAGTAATGGGGGACTCCAGAGAATTCCTCCTTCATATTGCCCACTTACATATGTGAGGTGGTTGGGAAATGCCAGTGATTACTAACACCCGAAACACTGCATTTTACTTGGCATGTGGTTGAGCTCCTTGATACTGTTTTTCTTTCTTTTTTGTGGTACAGGGGTTTAAATTCAGGACTTTGCACTTGCTTGGTAGGTGCTTTATCATTTGAGCCACACACCCATCCCTTTTTGCTTTAGTCTTTTTTTGTTCTTCTATCGAGTCCTGTGTTTATGCTTGCACAAGACTATTTACGAAGTCCACTGTAAGACTATTTCTTTTTTTTTCCTCCTGTACATAACCTCAGGCCTTGAGGTTTTCCTAACAAAAAAATAAGGATGGAGAAAGAAGATTCTTTCTTTAGCTGTTTAGGAAAGTTTGCATTTTTTAATGGTCACATGTATTCTGCTGCCTTTTATACAGTATTCTCAATTCCATCTTGCCAGTTAATATGTAAGCCTTGATTTTACTCCTAAAAAAGCAAGTATATCTAAGCAACTAGAAAACATAAAGGTAACTAAGTTTTCATATGATCTTTCCTATACCTTTTCAGTTAGAGAAAATGTTAACAGATAATAAACCAACCATAGTTACTGATAATTAATGCTATTACAGAAATGTTCTGTATTTAGAACATTAGTTTCAAACTGCCAGTCTGAGTTTCAAATTTCTAACTGGCTATATCATACCTTGATGAGCTTCAGGTAGATTCCTTTGATCGCCACAATTTTGATTCTATAGATGTGGCACGGGACTCAGCCTTTTTAAATTTTATATATATATATATATTTTTTTGTTGTTGTTGTTGTTGTTGTTGTTATTGTTTTCTCCTGAAGGGACTGAGATGTCCAGCTGGGTTTTGAAACTGTTGAAAGGACTGAGACCTTTAGCACTCACCTAGAGATATATGTAGCTTTTTACCCCAGCTTTGTAACTAAACTAACGTGTTCAATATCACCAAGGCATGCTTAATTAGCTTATTCAAAAACATTATTCTGTCAGTAAATTCATTCGTATAAGTTAAAAAATATAAAGGAAAAAAGTGATTAAGATTTAGAAGAAAATATTTCATTTTGTGTATGCTGTGACTTGAAATAAAGGGGAAGCTATCTACAGTGATCCAATGAATCAATACATGTTTTAGACATTTTATATTTTATATGTTTTGTGTATATCGTATGTGTATGTGGTGTATATTTATAGCCACAAGCTTGTTTGTTTTCATATTTATATTTCATATTTATAGCCACAAGCTGGAGATCACCATTTGCTTCAGTACAGGTATTGGCTTTGGTCTCAGACCTTAATAATACTACAACAGGAAGATTCCATGAATCCTGATTCATGCGGGTAGGGGAATGATTAATGTTAAATCTTCCAGCATATCTCTTTCCTCACCCCATGAAAGAACAGGAGGAATCTAATACTGCTATATCATTTTCTGAATAAAGCAAATCTGATCTAGAAGCTCTATTTGGTGTAATTTAATGTTACTTCCCTGATCTTTCTGCTGTCAACAGAGCCAGAGCCCAGAGGTGGAGCAGTTAGGGAGGGTTGTGGAACTGGACAGTGACATGGTAGATATCACCCAGGAGCCAATTTTGGATTCTGTATTAGAAGAGAGCATGCCTGAGGATCAGGAACCTGTGTCTGCTTCAACACACATTGCATCTTCATTGGGAATTAATCCACATGTCTTACAGGTGATATTCTAATCCACTTTTAATTATGACAAAAAGCCAAATATTTTATCTCTTGCACAACATTACTCCTTTTTTTATTATTATTCATTTAAAACCATTGAGTATTCAATATAATGAAAAAGAAATATGGCTACCATTTGGACCTCATTTTCCCATTCAGGGAAGGAAACCTATATTGAGAATCAGAAGTTAGGACTTCTGGTTTTAACTGAATTCAATTCAGAAGACCTGTTTTCTAATCCACGTTTTGTAACTATTCTGTGATTTAAAGCAAGTCATTTAACAACTGTGAGCACTGATTTTTCTCCATATTACTTTGGCTGTTTCATAGGGTGGCTTTGAAGTTCTTTTAAGGTTTTCCACAAAACTTAAAAAGACCTGGTAGACATGGGTTTCTTTAAGATGTTATTTCTGCTTTCTCTGGCCCATGGTATGTTTGACATTAAAATCTTTTTTTTTTTCTTTTTTTTTTTTAAGCAAACATGAATAACTCTTGTGTCTAGAATCTGGTGACACACTCCCAATACAAAGAAGGGGAGAATTGTATGACTTCTGCCCTTGACAGACATACAGTATAATTGTCATACAAATACTATACCAACTGAACATGAGCTTGAGAAGAGAGTTTTTTTGTTTTTTTTTTTTTTGTTTTGTTTTTTTAGTATAAACTGTATTTTTCTTTATGGCCTTTCATTTCTAGGGAATACATTCATTCTATAGATATTGCCTTTTTAGATCATGAAAGCATCATTACTTGCTGATGAAGAAGATGGAGATGCCACGGATCAACACATTAGTCACCTTCCTTCCAAAGGAGATATTTCTCAAGAAATCTGTTCTCCCAGACTCCCCATTTCAACATCCCATTCATCAAAATCCCGCTCAATAGGTACCGTATAAAAGTCCTGGTTTTCACATAACTTCTTCTAAGGTGAATGAACTTATCTAGCAAATATCTGATAACAGCCATACATAAGAACATAAGAATGCTGAAGGAGTTTGGCAGTGATGACTCACACCTTTAATCTTAGCTATTTGAGAGGCTGAAATCAGGAGGATTGTGGTTCAAGGCCAACCCAGGCAAATAATTCTCGAGGATCCCATCTCCAAAATAATCAGAGCAAAAATTGACTGGGGGTGTGCCTCAAGACATAGAGTATCTGCTTTGCAAGCATGAAGCCCTGAGTTCAAACCTGAAGCTCAACAAAAAAACACAACTAAAAAAAAAAAAATGCCAAAGGAAATTGTACTGTTATAAAAATACCTGTTGGGACCCTATCTCAAAAAACCAAAACAAACAAAAAAGCCTACTAGAAGTACCCAATTTTTCCATTTTTATTAGGATGTGTTTGTTGTATGGGGGGATTCATTGTGACAATTTTAAATAACCTTACATTATACATTGGTTACATCACCCCTGCCACACCCTCTCCCCTGCAAATCCCTCGCCGCCCCATTTAAAGCAATTGTAAGAGATTTCATCATTCTATTTTGTATATGTATATGAAGTGCATCAACCATATTCCTTTATCTTCATCTCCTCCATTCAGCCTCCCACCTCCCACAAGTACTCTACACACACACACACACACACACACACACACACACACACACACACACACACACACACACAGACACACACACAGTACCTATTTTACAGTCCTGTCTTTCATTTATAATTCCACTGTCAATGGAAGTCAGTGTTCAAAAGGGTTTCTCAGTATATGCCAGCTATGAATATACTTTACTTTGATTAGTTCAACCCCCTCTTGTTACTCTCCCTTACCCCTTCCCTCCTACCCCATTATTCAGCAGCTTTCAGTACATATCATTATATATATCTTCTATCTGCACAGATGTAATGTATTTTGATTTTGTTGACTCTTACCATTCTCTTTCCTTTCCCTCCTCCCCTGATTTCCATAGAGTAATTCCATTATTATAAACATGTTCTACATATAAGTTTGTATATGACCATGTTTGTTTTTGTGTATGTTTATCTTTTGGATCTATCTTCCACATATGAGAAAACATGTGATCTTTGTCTTTCTGAACCTGGCTTATTTTACTTAAAATGATGTCTGCCAGTTGCATCCATTCACTTCAAACCACGTGATGTCGTTCTTACTTATGGCTGAATAAAATTCCAGTTGTAGACATCTTAGTTATTTCCATAGCTTGGCTAATGTGAACAGTGCTGTAATAAACATCAGTGTGATAGCGTCTCTATTGTATCCTGACTTATATTCCTTCAGGTATATGCCCAAGAGTGGTAGAATTAACCAATTTTTTAAGAACATAATTACTTCTACTGGTACAGATGTAGAAGTTGTTTGGAGAAAAGAAAGCATTTGTGCTTTGTTTTAGGGTCAGTTTTTATCTGCCTTTGTATGGGGGTTAGGTAGTAAGCTCTAATTTCCTTTATTTACTTATTTATTCATTCATTCATTTATTAATTTATTATAGTGCTAGGGATGGAACCAAGGGCCTCATACATGCTAGGTAAACATTCTATCACTTAATTACATGCCCAGCTCTAATTTCCTAATTTTTATCACATTACCGAGGATTCAGCAAGCTATCCTATACTGTACTCTTTTTTGTGTGTGTTGTCCAGACACTTAATTTTACTGCTTTCTAAGGATATTCAATTTCTGTTTTTCCCTAAAACACCCCAAGTTCCTATGTAGATGATTATATATTTAATTTTAAAGCTTTCCCTTTTCTGTTCTAGTGGAAAAAGAGTATTGATGTTAGTGAGGGACTTAAGCAGATGTAATTTTTAAAATATTTTGAAAGCCAAAGAACTACCAGTAAAATATTTGTAAGCAGTAGTAAACTAAACGCTTAGTTTTAAAATTTTTTGTATTTCTTCATTATAAACTTTATTTAAAAAAAAAATGGAGCATCACTCAAATGTTCTTAAGACTTTTTCCATAATGGAAAATCTCATACTTCAATAATTCTAATTACATGCTTTAAAAGAAGAAACATAATTTGAATATAGGCAGTAGTAATAAAAATTATTCTCTAGAAAGGTACATATGCAGTCATAAGATGCCTCGGTGTGTTTTTGGTCCTTAAATCTAGTATTGAGCATTAGAGAGTAGGAACTTGAATTTTGATCATTCTGAGTTTTTTAATAAGTATTAAAAGGGTCGCATGTGGTATTTTGATAAGGACCTAAGTGTTGATGCCAAGCTTATCTGGGCTTATCTCTTGGTCCTTCCACTTAGTACCTTTGTGGATTTGGTCAACTCACTTACCTGAGTCCAGTTTTCTCTCTTAAAATGGGAGTGATGGGCTGGAGGCATGGCTGAAGCTGTAGAGCACCTGCTTCACAATCTCAAAGACCTGAGTTCAAACCTCAGTACTGCTAAAACAAAATTAAAAAACAAAATGGGAGTAATAATCATTTTTATTGCTCAAAGTTACTGAAAAGTGAAATGTATACAAATGGCTTATGTAGCATGCTGCAGGTATGTGCTAGAAAAGTTTTCAAAAGTATCAGTAGTAGTGCTTGTTGTTAGTATTGTTATTTATATCATCATTTGAATTTTTGCCTTGATTATCTGATTGAAAGGGTAATATCTGAGAAAACTGTCCTCAGCTGATTCTGATCATTCATACCTAATTTAATCAGTTTGATAAAATACTGATTTCAGCTTTACTGGTTTATGTTGTTCAAGAAACAATACAGTATGTTAAGAACCTTTCCTTTCCCCTCATTTCAGTTGGTGGGTTACTACAATCAAAATTTACAAGTGGAGCTTTTCTTTCACCAAGTGCCTCTGTGCAAGAATGTCGAACTCCCAGAGCATCATCCTTAATGAATATCTCATCCACATCTCCTTGGACTGTCCCTCCACTCCTGACCACTGTATTTACAGTGCCCAGCCCATCTCCTGAGGTTCAGCTGAAAACAGTGGGCACGCGTAGGCAACCAGGCCTAGTCCCTCTTGAAAAGTCTGTCACATATGGCAAGGGGAAACTTTTGATGGACATGGCCCTGTTCATGGGACGTTCATTTCGGGTTGGTTGGGGCCCCAACTGGACTCTTGCTAATACCGGAGAACAGCTGAATGGCTCTCATGAACTGGAAAACCATCAGATTGCTGATTCGATGGAATATGGATTCCTGCCCAATCCAGTAGCTATTAAATTGTGAGTTATGTTTCTTGATGCTTTTTTATAAAGGAAACATGGTAATTGAGGAAAAACTATTCATTATCAGGAAATGCAGGGTGATGGCCCTTCTTTGTTATCTTTTTAGTTTTATTTTTAGCACAATTTTTGATGGTAGAAGAAATTTTTGTAATTAAGAGCTAAAATGATTAATAAGATAGCCTCATTTGTAACCATCAAATTATGAAAAGTTAGCATTTACCAAACAGTTAAACTTCAGTTGGAAAAGTAAAAGACCCAAAGTTTATACCACAGTATTTCTTCATTTACTAACCTTTTTATTGCATTGACCATTTTTCCTACTTTGTTGCTTACATAGTTTTTATTTCCCCATATATAAATATTCTCAACTAAGTGCATTTCCTGTATCTTAACACTCATGTAAATGAGTAAACAATTGATAATTCATGCATAAATATTTATGTTGTATGCTTAATAGTGTATACATTAGTGACTATACAGCTCTCAGTTTACATTTACATATATTGCTTATAGTGTTCTATGTATGCTTTATATAGAACTATATGTACCTTATAAGTTATATATGAAGTTTTCTTATAGTTACCAGACAGGCAAAAAAACAATAGCATCTCTTTGAACCTCATAATTAGGAAGGTTGATCCTAAACTTTGTAGTTTGCTCTAGAGTAGGCATGATTTCATGATATCATGGAGGTTGTTGATATCAGTCAATATATCAAGTTATAGCAAGACTAGATTGACTTTATGCTCATCTTAATTTAGAGCCTGCCTGTTGGCTTAGTGTTACCTGCCTATAATCTAGCACTCAGGAGATGAAGACAGGAAGATCAGGAGTCTGAAGCCAGCATGGGGTATAAAGCAAGGCACTGACTTAATAAAGCAAGGGTTAGAAGTAGCTCAATGGTAGAGCACTTGCCTAACATGCAAGGCGCCCTGGGTTGTATCCCCTGCACTGCAAAAAAAAGAAAAAAGAAGTAATTTAGAGACTGTTCTTTAGTATCTGTAAACTTAGCTTCGTAAGTTTTGATACCTAAAGTATTTGTGAAACAGGTATTCCACAATAACTTTTGGTATTTAAATTTTATAGTATCCAAGTACACATTGATACTAGTCTACGTCTAACTATATTGATTCCCTTTCCTTTATAACCTGACCTAAGAAGCCTTTGGGTTCTGAATGCATGGGTCAGATAATTTGTTTATTCAATAAATAGATAATAAGTTCAGTATCATTTGATACTGGGAAACAAAATTTCTTTGAAACCATGGTGAAATGTTTGGCATTCTGTTTATAATCATAAAAAGAAACAAAGATTTGGTTGTAAGTAAATCTTAGTGTCTTTTCTATCTTCATTTTTCTGTCTTGTTCATTTGTTGTTCTTATAGTCTAACTGAGTCCCCATTCAGAGTTCATTTGGAGAAACTCAGTTGGAGACAAAGGAAGCTGGATGAAGACCTGCAGTTATACCAGATACCCTTGGAGCTCAAATTAAAACATAGCACTGTCCATGTGGATGAACTGTGTCCTCTCATTGTCCCCAATCCAGGAGTTGCTGTCATTCATGATTATGTAGATTGGGTTAAGGAAGTATCCAGAGATTTATCAGAAGCACAGAGTGAGTACACACTATGCTTCTAACCTGTGAATGTCCCAGAGGAGGTAATGGTATATGTTTCTAAGAGAACAAATTTCCTTATACCAGTCTTGCAGGTGGATGCCTAAACCTTTCTGTAGTTGAATTGGGATAAGCAGGATGCCAACTAAAAAGAAATTGTTACTATTTTCAATTATATTTATGCCTTATAATATATAAATTCTTCTTCAACGAACTGTAGCCAGTGTAATCCCATGAATTTATGAAATTGTATTTCCCTACTTCACACAGTAGAAAAATCATATTTAACTTGTGTTTAACAAATCATCTTTACTAAAACATGTAGACATTTTTCCTTTTTCCTAAAATTTTATGTTTTTAAATGCCTTTATTTAGATTAAAAATGACTGAGTAAATTTCCATTTTGTGTGTATGACTTTTGTTTTTTATCCATTCATCTGTTGATGGGCATTTAAGCTGATTTCATAACTTGTCTATTGTTAATAATGCCAAGATAAACATAAGCATGCAGAAATCTTTATTCTTTTAGGTATATACCTAGAAATGGTATAGCTATAGCTGGTACTTCTATTTTTAATTTTTTGAGAAACCCATACTGGCTTCTGTATGTAGTGGCTGGAATGACTAATTTGCATTCCCAACAACATATAAGAGTTCTTTTCCCTTCCAGCATTTGTTTTGCTTTTGTTTTACGATACTGGGGATTGAACTCAGAGACTTTACTTTGCTGGACAGCGAGGAACCATACTCCCATACTTCTGCTTTGAGTTTTGCTTTTCAGATAGCATCTCAAACTTTTGCCTGGGCTGGCCTCTAGCCTAGATCCTCCTATCTCTGCCTCTTGAGTAACTAGGTTCATACTCAAGTGCTACCACACACAACAGCTTTTTGTTTTCTTGATAATATCCATTCTGACATGGGCGAGATAGGATCTCAGTGTAGCTTTGATTTGGATTTCCTTGATGGCTAAAAATTTAACATTTTTTTCATCTGTTTATTGATTATTTGACTTACTCATTTGAAAAGTGTTCAGTTCTTTTGCACATAAATGGATTAGATTGTTGTTTTGTTCATTTTTTTGAGTTCTTTATATATTCTAGATATGAACCCTTTGTTGGATGAGTAGCTGGCAAAGATATTCTTCCATTCTATAGGCTGTCATTTCCTTTGCTGTGCAGAAGCTTTTAATGTGATACAATCATACTTGTCAATACTTGCTAATATTTCCTGAGCTACTAAAATCCTATTCAGAAAGTCATTGCCAGCTGGGTGCTGGTGGCTCATGCCTATTATCCTAGCTACTCAGGAGGCAGAGATCAGGAGGATAATGGTTCGAAGCCAGTCTGGGCAAGTAGTTCCATGGGACCTTATCTCGAAAAACCCTTCACAAAAGTAGGGCTGGTGGAGTGGCTCAAGGTGAAGGCCCTGAGTTCAAGCCCCAGTACCGCAAAAAAAAAAAAATCATTGCCTATGCATATATAGGAAGTGTTTCCCCTATATTTTCCTCTAGAAGTTTCATAGTTTCGTGTTTTACCTTAAGGTCTTTGATCCATTTTATGTCGATTTTTGTACAGGGTGAGAGACAGATCTAAATTACGTCTTCTACACGGAAATAGTTTTTCCAGCACTGTTTATTAAAGAATTTGTCTTTCCTGCAATGTGTGTTTTTGGGACTTTTGCCAATAATTAGATACGTATATTCTACTTTGACTGTTTTTGGATGTTCTGTTCCATTTGTTTGGTTTACATATCTGTTTTTGTGCCTGTACCATGCTGTTCTTGTTACTGTGGCTCTAAAGTACATATGTGTATATAATATTGGGGTTTGTATTCAGGGGCTTGTGCTACCACTTGAGCCACATTCCCAGGTCTTTTTACTTTAATTTTTTAGACATGGTCTGGCTCTTTTGCCCAGGCAAGCCTTAGACCTCAGTCCTCCTATATCTGCCTCCAAAGTAGCTGGGGTTTTAGGAGTGAGCCACCACACCTGGTTTTGCAGTATACTTTGAAATCAGCATTGCTCATTTTGCTTAGGATTGTGTTGGCTACTCAGGATCTTTTTTGTTTCCGTAATGAATTTTTCTATTTCTTGAAGCATGTCATTGGAATTAAAAACAATTCCTATCCTAGATTTCAGGATGTTGCTTTGTTTTTGGTTTTCCATAGTACTTTTTTTGTCGTTGGAATTTTTATGGAGTTTGCATTGACTGAGTTTGAATGTGTTTGAATATCTTCTAATTCTTCATTTATCTATTCTTCCAGTAATATTTAGTATTTCCCAAAGTCTTACAACTATGAATTGTCATTCTTCTTTGTGTAGAATATCTTTAGGTATTCTCTGCAATGCTGGCTTAGTATTCATGAATTATTCTAGTTTGTGCTTATCTTGGAAAGTTTTTATATCATCAATTTTAAAGGATTACTGCTGAATATAGTAATCTTGGTAGGCAGTTATTTACTTTTGGTGCTTGAACTATATCATTCTGTGCATTCCTGTCTTTTAGGGTTTCTGCTGAGAAATCTGATGTTATTCTCATAGGTTTGCCTTTGTTAATCACTTGGCACTTCTCTTAAGCTTCAATATTCATTTGTTGTTCTGTAATCTTGGCATTTTGACTATACTGTAATATGGAGATGTTTATATCTATTTCTGCTGTAATTTCATTGAATAGATAAGTTTTCTATAGTCCATATCTTAACTCCCTCTGCACCAAATATTCACAGGTTTTTGTCTCTTAATTTTGTTGTAGGGGTCTTGAAAGTTGTGATTATGATTACTTTTTCTTTTCCTTTATTGCTATCTGAATATAATAGTTCCTCAGCTTTGTCTTTAGTTGCTGATGTTCTTTCTTCCACGGGCTCTAGTCTGTTGGTGATTCTTTCCATTGAGTTTTTTATTTGAGTTACTGAGCTCTTCATTTCCTAAATTTTTCTGTTTGGGTTTTTTTTAACTTCCAACACCTATCTCTTTGCTGAATTTCCTCATTTAAGTCTTGAATTGACTTCTTTACTTCATTCATTTGCTTATTTATATCCTCTTTCAGGTCGTTGATCAGTTTCAGAATTAGACTTTTGAATTCTTTGTCCAGCACATCACCATTTTGCTATCTTTGGATTTTGTTTTTGGAGACTTCCCTTGCTTTTTAATATTTCTTGTGTTTCTTTTTTGTGATTTGTTTATTATTTGTTGGCATAGATATCTCTTCCAGTGTTCTTTTTTGTTTTGCTTCTTATGCCATGCACATGCTAGGCAAGCACACTACCTCTGAGCTACATCCCCAGTGCTCTTCTACAGGTATATATAGGAGTGGTCTTAGTGAACAGCCTTCTCTTGAGATCTTAATCCCACCTCCCACTAAGGGGAGAAAGCATACTGTAGTAACAACAACCAAAAAAACAAACCAGACATTTGAATATAATAAAAACACAATTTTTCTTTTCTTTTCTTTTCTTTTTTTTTTGCTGTACTGGGGTTTTAACTCAGGGCCTCACACTTTCTAGACAGGTGCTCTACCGCTTGAGCCACTCTGCCAACCCATAAAAACACAATTGGAAGCAGCTACATCCACAACAAGAATTGTAAGATCAGCACTAAGATGATATAATATAAGTTAGGAAGTTAAAAACTAATAAATACGAAATAAAAGGATAGGAAAAGAAAAAGTAGAAGCAATATAAGATATTAAAGTCTAAGAAATAAAAATCCAGTCATTGGTTGCTCATTGCTGAGGAAATGGATGGTGGAGATGCTTCTTTTTTTTTTTTTTCCACCAGTCCTCTCATTTAGAAGTTCACTATGTATGGAAATAAGGCAGTGACTTGTTTTCTCTCTCAGGACCAATCAGATCAAGGCAGAAAGGGCTGTGTAGAGGCTCAATCCCATGCTACCTTAGCCTCTGAAGTAGGAGAAAATAACTGCTACTGGGCTGAATTATGCCAGTGATCTCTTGAGGTGTACTGGCTATACTGCAAGTTCAGGAGCTGCCCTCAAGCGGCTCCCACCCACCAAGCCTATGAATAACCTGGTTGGATGCCCCATCTCACCAAAGGTACCCTGCCAGTACAATTGTGAGCATAGGAAATGGGCAGAGGCTGTATTTCCACCAAATGTCTCTGGGGTTATGAGAATGGAAAAAACTGTCAAATGAAAGCAATCTGTAGTGTGATGAAACTTGCAGGCATTGTGATCCTGCCTGCCCTGGCCACACAAGTATCAGTTCTAGACCCCTCCAATCAACTACACAGCTGATTGTGCTCCTTTTTCCAGAAGTCTGGCCAGTGTTCCCAAATGGAAGTGCTCTTTGCTTCCCTGAATCGCACAGCCCACATTTCCCACCACTTCGGTCTGTGTTCTAAGTCCAAGTTACAGCTAGTTTCATGGACCCACAAGAACTTGGATGGTTCCTTGCTTAGCCAATGAGGAGGAGCAGCCATTGGGACTTGGAGGTATAAAAATGCAGGTGCAGGGCTGGGGCTCAACTGGTAGAGCACCTCCCTAGCAAACTCAAGACCTTGAGTTCAAACCTCAGTACTGAAGAAAAAAGAAAGAAACAGATGCCTCTGCCTTCCTCCCAAACCTTATGGTTTGATGTTAAGACCCCCCCCACCTTAAGATTGTGCCCCACCAGGGCATCAGTGAATAAGCTAGGACATGCAGTGGGGCAATTCTCCAATACCTGCTTGCTACACACACTGCAGATCTCCCATCTTAAACTGTAATTTTATAGAGTGCCAGATTCTAGACCTGTTGGCATTCACTGAATCTTTCCTTCTTTCCTTTGTGTAAAGCACTACTAAGGGGTTGGCAGAGTGGCTCAAAGAAGTAGAGCCTAGCAAGTGTGACGCTCTGAGTTCAAACCCAGTACCGTCAAAAAAAAAAAAATTCCCTTTCGCTACCATGCTACCAAGCACTTGTTAGACAACATGTTTCTTTTACAAATTTGAAATCCAGTATTTCTGGATTTCACCTAACGTTTAACAGTCTACTGCTTACTATTGAATTCCCATGTCTTTTATTACCACACCACCTCTCCATACAGTCATGCATCTTTTGTTTTGCTTCAGTGTTGTGGTATATCTCTAATCCTCCATCTTCTCTCTCTGTAGACTATTTCAGAATTTCCTATACCACACATTTTGGGACTTGCTTATTTTCAGTCCTTTGTGCTTAATTGTCTCACCTTTTCAAACTTAAGTTATCTTCACAGAGCATGCTTGTAAGTGGATTAAAATGATACACAAAGGAATTTTGGCTAAGAGAATGGGAGATGTATTTGAATCCTGATTTCTGTTACACATAGCCAGCCCATAACATTGGGCAAGGATATTAAATTCCTGTATCTCATTTTCTTCATCTGTCAAATAAAGTTCACTACTACCTAGTTATGTTGTATAAGTTAAAGTTGGTTTATTCTTTAAGTGCTTTGAACAGTTTTATTTATATTCAGTAAGATTTAGGTTATGCCTATAATAGGATAGAATAATCCCTTATACATTTAAAAAATATTTTACATTCTTAAAGCATTTTATGGATAGCTTTGGATCAAATTATTCAGTCCTATCATCTGAGATGATATTAGCCATAATTAAACTGTGGAATCCTGTTTAAAGGAGCAGAGGTTTATATTTGTTATGAAAGTACTACACATAGCTAGAATGAGCAGATAGTTACACCACATGCCTCTGGAACTAGTGAGACAAAGCTAAGTGAGACAGATACAGACTGATTCAGGGCAATAAACTTGAATGAGTGCTTGTATTCATTAATTTGTGTATTTTAACACCACAGTAAGAGTGATGTCCTTTCTGTAGTTATTTATAAGACTTTGTCATAGCATTACCTTTTATCTTTTCCTTAGTTATGAAACCCTGGAGCCTGACGTGGACATTATGTGAAGCCCTATGGGGTCATCTGAAGGAGCTTGACAGCCAGCTGGATGAGCCCAGTGAATACATTCAGATTCTGGAGCGAAGAAGAGCTTTTTCCCGCTGGCTATCCCATACTGCTGCACCTCAGATTGAAGAAGAAGTCTCCTTAACCCGAAAAGACAATCCTGTAGAGGCTGTCTTCAGCTACCTCACAGGCAGTAGGATCAGCGAGGCCTGCTCTCTGGCACAGCAGTCAGGTAAGGAATATGGTCCTCTGTGCCATTGCCTACTTCCTACACACTGTCCCCTCTCCCTTAGTTATGAATTTGCCTTATCTTCTAACCTATGAGTATTAAGGATAGCCTTCCCAGAAAGATTATTGGTTATTTCAAAGTAGGAACTGTATCATGTTCTCTTAAACATCTCTCTAGAACCTTAAACATTAAGTTTACTTAATTAAAATTGTTAATTTTGATGTACATTTGTAGTAAAACTAAAAAACACCCAAATCCTAAGAATTCTATTCACTGCAAATATTTCAATGTACAATTTGTATTTAGAAAGTTTCCTTTGACAAACTCTAAAGTTGATACTTTAGAGTTTGAGGAAAGAGTAGGAAATACTTTGGAGTTAGTAGGTATAGATAAGAACTTTCTCAACGAAACCCCAGCAGCACAGCAACTAAGAGACAGCATAGATAAATGGGACCTCATAAAACTAAAAAGCTTCTGTTCATCAAAAGAAATGGTCTCTAAACTGAAAAGAACACCCACAGAGTGGGAGAAAATATTTGCCAGCTACACATCAGACAAAGGACTGATACCCAGAATATATAGGGAACTTAAAAAACTAAATTCTTCCAAAACTAATGAACCAACAAAGAAATGGGCAAGTGAACTAAACAGAACTTTCTCAAAAGAAGAAATTCAAATGGCCAAAAAGCACAAGAAAAAATGCTCACCATCTCTAGCAATAAAGGAAATGCAAATTAAAACCACACTAAGATTCCACCTCACCCCTGTTAGAATAGCCATCATTAGCAACACCACCAACAGGTGTTGGCAAGGATGTGGGGGAAAAAGGAACCCTCTTACACTGTTGGTGGGAATGTAAACTAGTACAACCACTCTGAAAAGAAATTTCGAGGCTACTTAAAACACTAAACATTGATCTACCATTTGATGCATCAATCCCACTCTTGGGGATATACCCAAAAGACTGTGACACAGGTTACTCCAGAGGCACCTGCACACCCATGTTTATTGCAGCACTATTCACAATAGCCAAGTTATGGAAACAGCCAAGATGCCCCACCACTGACGAATGGATTAAGAAAATGTGGTATCTATACACAATGGAATTTTATGCAGCCATGAAGAAGAACGAAATGTTATCATTCGCTGGTAAATGGATGGAATTGGAGAACATCATTCTGAGTGAGGTTAGCCTGGCCCAAAAGACCAAAAATCGTATGTTCTTCCTCATATGTGGACATTAGATCAAGGGCAAACACAACAAGGGGATTGGACTTTGAGCACATGATAAAAGCGAGAGCACACAAGGGAGGGGTGAGGATAGGTAAGACACCTAAAAAATTAGCTAACATTTGCTGCTAATGCAGAGAAACTAAAGCAGATACCTTAAAAGCAACTGAAGCCAATAGGAAAAGGGGACCAGGAACTAGAGAAAAGGTTAGATTAAAAATAATTAACCTAGAAGGTAACACACACGCACAGGAAATTAATGTGAGTCAACTCCCTGTATAGCTATCCTTATCTCAACTAGCAAAAACACTTGTTCCTTCCTATTATTGCTTATACTCTCTCTTCAACAAAATTAAAGATAAGGGCAAAATAGTTTCTGCTGGGTATTGAGGGTGTGGGGGGAAGAGGGAGGGGGTGGAGTGGGTGGTAAGGGAGGGGGGTAGGGGCAGGGGGAGAAATGACCCAAGTGTTGTATGCACATATGAATAATAATAAAAAGAAAGTTTCCTTTGTATATAAAGTATATTCAAATACGTACAGGTAATATAATACAAGTATATAAGAGCAGCATATGCATGTAAATTTATCATAGATGGTTTCCTGTTTCGTATTCCGTTCTTTTCATGTATAATATTACAAATGTCCTATAATAGAAATAAGTAAGTGCTTCTTAGCAATCTTTTATATATAAATGTACTGTATTAGCAAATTCCTTTTAAGTTTTTTTTTTTTATAAACAGTACTCTAAACATCTTAAACACAGATTAGATTAACTTATTTCATCCAAATAAACATACAGAAATTTAACTCCCAGGTTGAGATATTTACCTGGCTTTAAAGTTTGAAAAAACCAACATTTGTGCTTTTTTTTAGTTCCCCTTCCACTAATGAGTCATTCAATAAATGCTTAATGATTGTCTTAACACAAACCTTAAAAAGAATACAGTATGATACAGTTCAGCTCTATGCATAGTTAGATCCTTCATGAAACATTATTTATTGGAAACTAACTTACCCAAAGCCAACTAATTGGAGCTGTCACATAAAGATTTATTTTGGAGGGCTTGGCCAATCTTTTAGATTAAAGAAAAAAAATCACACAAAGAATAGAATCAGTGCTGGGCACCAGTGGTTCACACCTATAATCGTAGCTACTTGGGAGGCTGTTGGGAGGATTGCAGTTTGAGGCTAGTCTGGGCAAATAGTTCACAGGACCCCCTCCAAAATAACCAAATCAAAATGATCTGGAGGTATGGTTCAAGCAGTAGAGCACCTGCTTTCCAAACATGAAGCCCTGAGTTCAAACCCAAGTCCCATTACAAAAAACAAAAACACTTTTGCTTCACTATTTCCATTTTCAGTAATTGATAGAACAATTAGACAAAAAGTTAATATATAAAATTCATGAGGGTTGGGTAGATGTAGCTCAATGTTAAAGAATAGAGCAAAAATCAATGAAAACAAAAACATTTTTAAAATAGAGTATATCAGTAAAACCTTAAGCTAGTTCTTTGGAAAAGATCTAGTTCTTTGTTTTTTGTTTGTTTGTTTGTTTGTTTTAAGGGCTGGTGGAGCGACTCAAGTTGTAGAGTGCCTGCTTAGCAAGCATGAGGTACTAAGTTCAAACCCCAGTACCACCAAAACAAACTAAAAAACCTATTTCTTTGAAAATCTCAGTCTTAGGTGTCTTCACTATATATTTAAAGAAGAATGAATATCAGTCCTCCACAAACTCTTCCAGAAAATACACATAAGAGTACTTTCCAATTCATCCTGTGATGCCATTTTTACTCTGATAGTATCAAGACATGATTATTGAAAATCTAGTATTATCCTTAATGATGAGAGATTCAATAATTTCCCTCTAAGATTGGAATAACTATTTCTATGTAATATTCTCACGGATGGTGTAGCCAGTTCAGGAAAGAAAAAGAAACAAAAGTCATATAATTTAAAAAGGAAAGGGAGGGTAGAACTGTCTTTATTTGCAGATTGCACGGTTCTATATGTAGACAGTCTAAGGAATTTACGGGATGAGGGAAGATACTGGGCCAGTCTCTGGTGGCTCACAACTGTACTCCTAGCTACTCAGGAGGCAGAGATCAGGAAGATGACGGTTTGAAGCCAGCCCTGAACAGTTTATGAGACCCTATCTCGAAAATACCCAACACAAAACAGGTCTGGTAGAGTGGCTCAGGTGATAAAGCACCTGCTTATTAAAAGTACTGGGACTAATATAGTATTTCAGCAAGGATTCAAGATCTTTGTACAAAATTCAGTTGTGGTATTTGTTTTTTGGAGGGTTTTTTTGTTTGTTTTATTTTTAGTTTTTTGAGACAAGGTTTCACTATCTAGCCCAAATCCTTCTTCCTCATCCTCTCTAGTACTGAGATTATAGGCATGTACCATCACCCTTGGTTTGATTGTATTTCTGGGTATTAACAACAAGCTATCAAAAAATAAAACCAATTCTATTCCACTGCACTATCAGAAAGAACTAAATACTTTAAATAAAAAGAAACATATATACTGACTATTATAAAGCTGGGGAAATAAAGACCTAAATAAGTGAAGAGAACTGCTACAGCCTCACATGTGTTAGGCACTAGATTTGATCCTCAGAAGTGCAAAAAAAAAAAATCACTCTAAATAGATGAAGAGACATTCCGACATTCCATGTTCAGCACTATTTGGCATTTGGGATTAATCATTCTTTATTCAGGGGGTTGGCCTGGGCATTTTTAGTATGTTAGTATCCTTGTTCCTCTGTCTTGTCTTAGTAATCAGAAAATTTTTTGACCAGATGTTGTGGTGCTTGCCTGTAATTCTGGTGCTCAAGAGATAGGGGCCAGAGGATCATGAAGTCAAGGGTAGGCTTAACTATGTAACAAGGTTGTAAAAAAACTAAGGACTGGGGTATAGCTCAGTGGTAGGGCATTTGCTTAGCATGTCCAAGGCTCTGGATTCTATCCCCAACACTGCAGAAAAAAAAGAAAAAAAAATTTTCTAGACATTATCAGATTTCCCTTGAGGGGCAGCACATCCTATGTTGAGAAACACTGATTGAAAACCTCAGTATTAGGTTGGGGGCATGGCTCAAGTTGTAGAGCACTTGCCTAACAAGCTCAAGGTTCTGGGTTCAAACCCCAGAACTGCCAAAAAGAAAGAAAACTACAGTATTGTTAAGGTCTCTGTTCTCTGCAGTTAATCTGTATATTCAGTGCAATCATTACCAACATCTCCCACAAGTGTCTTTGGCAGAAATTAAAGACTGATCCTTATTTGGGAGTATAAAGAATCTCATTTGAAAAGTTTGATTCTGGGTACTCAACAGCTGCTTATTTCAAATCTTATGTAAGGCTACAGCAATCAGGACAATTAGGATGAATGTATAGATTATTGGAATAAAAATGAGAATTCAAGTATAAAACCTTTTTACTTACATTAAACTGATTTTTGGTCGTACTGGGGTTAAATGCAGGGCTTTGCACATGCTAGGCAGGCGCTCTTACCCCTTGCACTACACTGCCAACCCTTTTTGCTGTAGTTATTTTTGAGTAGGGTTTCACTTTATGCCCAAGCCAGCCTGGACTGCTTCCCTATGTAGCCGGGGAAAAGGTGCACACCACTGTACCCAGCCATTGGTTGAGATGGGGTCTGTGACATTTTTGTCCAGACTGACCTTTAACTGCAGTCATCCCAACTTTGGCCTCCCTAATAGCTAGGACTATAGACATGAACCACCGTGTGTGGCCTTAACAAAGTTACCTGGAAAATTAAAAGTATTTCAACATACAACGCTAGGGTAGTTGGATATTCAAAAAAAATTGTTTAGGTCCTTATTCTTAACACATACAAAAATTTATTTAAGGAAGTACCCTAGAATTCTGCCATTTGCTCAGTATATTTTCTTTTCAGTAGGAAGGACTTATATGAAAAGGTAGCGATTGGCAGAACTAATTGTTCAAGTGTATGATCAGCAAAGCCATGATCTTAATCAACTATTGTATGAAACTATGATAAACCAATTTCCTTTCTAAACTTAACCATCTCTGGTGACCAACAGAGCTGGGTATGATGGCACAGGTCTATAATCCTTGCATTCAGGAGGCTGAGGCAGGAGGATCTTGAGTTTAAGGCCAGCCTGGGTTACATAGTAAGACTCTGTCTTACCCGTTACCCCCATGATAAATACTCTTTTGGGTTCTATAGACATGCCGAAATAATCTTTCTTTTGTTATTAGTCACTTAGCAAGCAGGCTGCAGTACTTATTACATGAATCAGTCCAGTCATGCTCTGGATACCTACATGTAGTTAAGAAGATAACTTGGCCTAGCAACCCATTTCCAGATGTATTTCTTTCCTCCAGGCCACTGTAATTTGAGAAGGAAACCTTTTGAGATGAGAGCATTAGCTTCTTGTTAGGACAGTAACTTTTATAAGCACTGACCCACACAGAAACTAAAGGAAAAGGACTCTGACTTTTAAGAGGTTTGTAATTAAGGCTAAAACAAGGAATTTTTTCAGAAGTCACATTTCAGCTACAAACACATTTACACTGGAATTTGTATCTTCTCACATTCTGGTTAATTAGAATTTTTTTATTGTCCTAGCCTTTTGTTCTTAACATACTTTAAGAGAGATTATTGGGCTTGTGAGAATGAAAGACTCACCTGTTCACTTTATAGTAGCCATACATGTCTTTTCTTTAGGTTTGACTTTCCCAGTTCTCTGTCATTATGTAGATAGTACATTTTAGTTGTATATGTTTTCAATTACGTCAACTCTTTTTTTACCAGAAACTTTTGAATCAGTGTTTTCCTCTGTTATATAGACACACTTCCTTGCTTAGGGTCACAGAATCTGTTCTGTGAATCATACTGCTATTGATGTCTGTATGCTGTGTAATCTATATGGAATTTAGGTTAAACTTTTCATATTTTCTACTCAAGCTGAAAATGGTAAGTTTCTGATTTTGACACTACTGCTGGAGGCACTCACAGGTATTAAGTATTCCCCTTGAAGGCTGGAAGAAATAGTATAATGCCCCTAAGTGTTTCACGAGGCCCATAAAACCTTAGTAATCACCAGAGAACTCTCTTTGTCTTCAGGTGATCACCGCCTTGCCCTTCTTCTGTCTCAGTTGGTGGGTAGCCAGCCAGTCCGGGAGCTACTCACGATGCAGCTGGCGGATTGGCATCAGCTGCAGGCTGACTGTTTCATCCAGGATGAACGATTGCGCATCTTTGCCCTCTTGGCTGGAAAACCGGTATCCTCTTTTCACCATACTCTCATTAGTTTTCTTCTAAAATCAAGGCTGCTTGAGGTGGAGGCAAAGCAGTAGCTTTGTAAATTGCACATTATTACACATAACTGGACAATTTTTTAATTCTCGTCAAAAATGTTTTCAAATTAAAAAGGCAGGAATTCGCATTGTAAAAAAGCCAATCTATATAGAAATTAAAATACTTAAATTCATCATATCCCATAACTGAAGTAGTAAATAATTTATCCAGACATATTTTAAGTCTATTATCATCATACATGTATTCATGATTACATGTGTCTATATATAAGCAGTATCAATTCTGCAACTTTTTTCCTTTAATTTACTATACCTAGATATTTTTTTCATTTGATGCAGCATCACTTCTTTGTTTTGGGTTGTTTTTCACCCAGTCTCGTAGAGGAGATCTTCTAAGAAACTCTGTCTACTGAGTTTATTTTTTGTCAATTTGCTGGGTTGGTTGGTTTGTTTGTTTGTTTATTTATTTGCAGTACTGGAGAGTCAAACCCAGAGCTTTTTGCATGCGGGCAAGTCACTACACTGAACTACATCCCCAGTTAGCTTCATTCGTTTTAATAGCCACTTAAGTTCCATTTTTGGGCGATGAAATATAATTATTTTAATCCAGCTCTCTGTTGCTTCCTACCCCTTTGTTACCTTTTTTTTGTTGTTGTTGTTGAGACAGGGTCTCACTGTATATGCCAGGCTGGCCTCAAACTTACAATCCTCCTGCTTCTGTCTCCCATTTTCTGGGATTACAGATATGTGCCACTATCTCCAGCCTTGATTACATTATTAAAGTCAGTTTTCAGAAATTAAATAAATGGTCAGAATTTATTCTCATCTTAAAATTCTATAAGATAGGAGGTGTAGGCAGTGAAAAAACGACCTCTCTGCTGTTACCTCAGAACACCCATTGTTATTTGTCCAAATCTACTTTCTTACCTTCCACTACCAGACTATATATTTTATATCTGTATGAATAACACTGGCATCTAATATAAATAACATATATATAATGTATAATTAATATTATATAAGTAATATAAAATATTACATGGATGTAATATTTTAAATGATCAGTTTCTTATTGCTGTGGCATAATACCTGAGAGAAACAATTTAAAAGGAGGAAGAGTTTATTTTGGTTCATGATTTAAGAGATACCAGTCCATTGTCAGCTGGCTCTGTTATTTCTAAGCGATGATGAGGCAAAACATGGTGGGGAGTATGTGATGGAATAGAGCTGTTTACCTCATAGCAGCAGAGAGAGGGTCAGTAAGAGTCCTGGGACAAGGAGTAGCCCCCAAGGACATGTCCCTAATGATCTATTTTTGCCCCACCTCCTAAAGTTTTGAACATCTCACAAAATAACACCACCATCTAGAGACCAGACATTCATCAGCACATGAACCTGTGGGGGATATTTCATACTCAGACTATAACATTAAATAGGTAAATAGCTTGCAGACATAGGCATAACAAAGTAAAATATAGTTGTGGTAATGATTTTGTCTCCTGTAGGTGTGGCAACTATCAGAGCAGAAGCAAATCAATGTATGCTCCCAGCTGGACTGGAAACGTTCCCTTGCTATCCATCTTTGGTATTTGCTTCCACCAACAGCCTCCATTTCCAGGGCACTCAGCATGTATGAAGAAGCATTTCAGGTATATGTATCAGTAGAGCCAAGCAAAATTCCTGTTGGGTATTCTGTCTTTGCCACAGAAGTCCTGCAGAGAAAAAGCCATCAAATCACATTTTATAATACAGCAATTTTTTATTAAGTGCCCTTTTTGAAAGTACTGTGAGTACTGTAAAATTGACATGGACCCAGGAAATCTGATGGGATACTTTATCCCTTACACTTGCCTCTGGACAAGGCTACTCTTAAACTTCTCCAAGTTATCTGCTTTTATTTTATTTAAAATAATGAGTTTTTTCCACAGTTCTTTTTGTTTATTGGGGCAGAGGAGGAGAAGGGCAGGTAGCCACTTGAGCCATGACTCCAGACCAGCCCCGTAGTTAACTGTCTTACCAATGATTTCCTACCTCATTTTTCTTTTTTTTTTTTTCCTTTTTCACAATACTGGGGTTAAAATTTAGGGCCTTCACTTGCTAGGCAGGCACTCTACAATTTGAGCCATGCCTTCAGCCCTTTTGGCTTTACGTATTTTTTAAGTAGAGTCTCACATTTATGTCCAAGCTGCCCTGGACCATGATCATCCTATTTACACTTCCTGCTTGGCTAGAATGACAGGCCTGCATCACCACTCCCAGTTTATTGGTGAGATTGGTCTCTAGATATACATACATGTCTACATATATGTATTCTAACCTTGTTTGGTTTTGCCCCTAATTAGCAGGTCTGAAATTTACCTCTATCATATTTCATAATCCCTTGTCAGTGTTGCTGTTTTTAATGTCATCATTTCTTATTTTTTTTTGTTTGTTTTGAGACAGGGTACATATGTTTTGAGATAGGGCTATATATGGGTCCAGTCTGGCCTGAAACTTTCAGTCCTTCTCCCTCAGCCTCCCAAGTGCTGAGATTATAGGCATGCACTATCATGCCCAGCTTGCCATCGTTTCTTGAATCTTTTCTGCACATATTCTACTTTGTCTTTGATACCGTTTTACAGAATTGTCAGGAAAAAGAACACTTAAGGAAACTTGAATATATTAAGAAAGATGGCAAATATGATTGTTTAGTTATAGCTACTCGAAATCTTTGCCAGTCCATTGAAGACAACAGGAATGTCACTGACCAAAAAGAGTTTATAATTCTTAATAGATTCCAGGTTGGAGGCCTGGCCTAAATATCTTTAAATGCCTGCATAGCAAGCATGATACCCTGGGTGCAAACTCCAGTACCACCAAAACCAAACAGAATAGATTCCTTGGGGGTGTCTGTTTGTTTGTTTGTTTGTTTGTTTTGGTGGGCCTGGGGTTTGAACTCAGGGCTGCAAGTTTGCAAAGCAGGCGCTCTACCATTTGAGCCACACCTAGTCCATTTTTTTCCAGTTACTTTGGAAATGGGGGTCTCTTAAACTATTTCCCCTGGCTGGCCTTGAACCATGAGCCTCCTGATCTTGGCCTCCCAAGTAGCTAGCGTTACAGGCATGAGCCACCAGCACCCGGTTCCACATAATTATTAATATAAGTATCTAAGTAGTTGAGACATGATAATATCTAGTGAAACAAACTAACAACTTGATGTATTGTTTTATCAAATTCTTCCCCTTCAGAATACCTCTGAGGGTGACAGATATGCCTGTTCCCCACTTCCTTCATACCTGGAGGGTTCTGGCTATTTGGTAGAGGAGGAGCAAGACTCACAGAGACCACTTCAAGATGTTTGCTTTCATCTTCTAAAACTCTACAGTGACAGGTAAACCAGGGCCAGGCACTATAATCACTTGAGATTACTCCAAGCAGCTTAAGGAGTCCTTTCCCTCCCATGTGCCACCAAATTGCTGTAAGTCTGTATAAGTTACCAAATATAACTTGTAATAGTTGGGTATGTTTTCTTTTGTGCCTCTCTTCTTTCACTCATAATGATTGTGAGATAACCATGTTAAAATGCGTAGCAGAAGTTAGTTTTGGTTTTGGAGGGTTTTTTTGTGGATATTTGCATAACTTATATATCAGTTTGTTGGTGAACGGTAAGATATTGGTGATTTTGGCTGTTGTGGATAGAGCTGCTATGAATATTTGTATCCAAGCTTGGCCTATGATGGCACATGCTCATAGTCGCAGCTACTCGGGTTGCTGAGGCAGGAGGTTCACTTGAGCCCATGAGTTTGAGACCAGCCTGGACACATAGGAAGACCCATCCATTTAATTAAAAAAAAAAAAAAAAAAAATCCAACTGTCCAGACAGTATTTAAAAACAGTAGTGGGGGAGGTTATGTCATGTCATTTTACATTTCCAGTAGCAATTTGGTGTTCTCAGATTTTTAGGGTTTACCATTTTATTAAGCATGTAATGGTATCTCACACTGTGTGTGTGTGTGTGTGTGTGTGTGTGTGTGTGTGTGTTTGTGGGGGGGGGGATTTGTTTTTTGTTTTTTATCTTTTGAGATGGTCTTGTGGTGTAGCCCAAGCTGGCTTGGAACTTAACTATGTGTAGCAGAGGCTGACCGCAAACTCAAAATCTTCCTGCCCTAGCCTCCCATGTTCTGGAATTACAGGAGCATGCCACCAAGGTGTGCATAAGATATGCAGAGTGGTTTATTTATCTAATAATAATACATTAACACATGTTAATATATATGATCACTTAAAACTATCTTTTTACATTGTTAGAAATACTTTTCTTTTTTTCCAGTTACAACTAATAGCTCACAGAACATTTCAACTCTTTGGGTTGCTTTATTTTAAACATATATATTTAATTATAAGATAGGTTTTTCTACTGTGGTAAATTAGGCATAAGTAAAATGTACCATCCTAAGTATATGTTAAGTATATTCGTATTGTACAACCATCACCATCTATCTCCAGAACTTTTTCATCTTTCAAACTAAAACTTCTCAATGTTTTACTCTGTGTTTTCTTAATGCTGAGCACTTTTTCGTGTGTTTATTTACCATATATAACATCTTTTTTTTGCTGAAGTACTACTTAGGTCTTTTACCAATGGTGGTACTGGGGGCCTCCCATTTGCTAGGCAGACACTCCTACTCCTGGCGCCATGCCTCCAGCCCTTTTTTTGCTTTAATTATTTTCAGATGAGGTCTTGAGTTTTCTACTCCTTGCACCATGCCTCCAGCCCTTTTTTTGCTTTAATTATTTTCAGATGTGGTCTTGAGTTTTTGCCAAGGGCTGGCCTTAGACTTCAATCCTTGTACCTCTGGGTAGCTGAGACCACAGGCATGTAACACCATGCCCAGCTTATTGATGAGATAGAAGAATCTCAAAAACTTTTTCCTGGGTGCCAGGCGCCAGTGGCTCACATCTGTAAATCTGGCTACTCAGGAAGCAGAGATCAGAAGGATCGTAGTTTGAAGGCCCAGGCAAATAGTTCACAAGACCCTATCTCGAAAATACCCAACACAAAAAAGGGCTGGTGGAGTGTCTCAAGTTGTAGAGTGCCTGCCTGGCAAGTTTGAGGCCCTGAGTTCAAACCCCAGTACTGTAGGGAAAAAAAAAAAAGCTTTTTGCCTGGGTTGGCCTAGGACTGTGATCCTCCCAATCTCCATCTGTAATTGTAGGCATGATCTTTTTGTACCTTTTTAGTTGGGCCTTGCTATATGAGTATGGTAACACTTGAGCCACTCTCCAAGCCTCATATTTTTTCTTAACAGAACAAATGAAAAGCTTCACATTTTCATGAGGAAGTATTTATACTTCCCAGTTTGTAATTAACATAGGACTGTTGACATTTATTCACAGGTCAGTTTTTATCATTTGTTTCTTTTAGGGAGTTGGTTTCAACAATGTCACCAAATTAAAGCATAAAATAACATTTCCATTTTCCTTTAAAATATCTGTAGGGTTTGTAACAACCGTGTCTTCCTGATATTGGCAATTTTTGTCTTCTCTTTTCTTGCTTGGTCTCCCTAGAATAATTTTTCAAAAATCCAGCTTTTGGCTTCATTTGGAATCCATGTTGTTTATCCAGCTCAAAATGGATCATAAAATTAAATGTTAAACTTAACTATAAACTTTCTAGGAGGAAACAAAGCAGGAAATCTTTCCAACTATGGGTTAAAGATTTCTTAGGTACCAAATGCACAGTTCATAAAAGAAAAAAATGGTAAATTACACTTCAGCAAAATGAAAAATACTTCTCATTGAAAGACCTATTAAGAGAATGAAAACACAAATCAACATGGGAAAAAATATTTGTAATTGATATATCTGATAATGGACTTGTACCTAGAATATATAAAGAACAATCAGTAGACGAGGGTTGGTGTCTCATGCTTATAATCTTCGCTACTTGGGAGGTAGAGATCAGGAGATCGCTCTTTGAAGCTAGCTCAGGAAAATAGTTCTCAAGACCCCATCTCAAGCAATAAAGGCCATTCATGGTGATACGCACCTGTCATCCCAACAAGATAGGAAGCATAAATAGAAGGATTACATTCCAGGACATTCAAGGCATAAATTCGAGACCCCATTTGAAAAGTAACTAAAGAGACAGACACCAGTGGCTCACAACTATAATTCTAACCACTCAAGAGACAGGAATTAATTTTATAAGCTTACTAATATTGTACACTCTAGACATGTGTGGTTTATGTGAATTTTTTAAGAGAATTTCAAGTATATGAGTTATTCTTTAGTGGCTATGAAAACATTCCTGACACAAACAAGTTAAAAAGAGGAAAGTTTTATCTTGACTCACCATTTCAGAGATTTCAATCCAGTGGCAGGAAAGGGCATGGTAGAGTAGAGCAGCTCACACTAGGGCAGCCAGGAAGCAGAAAGAGGCAATGCCTATGCTAGCTGGATTTTTCCTTTTTCCCCTTTATTTCATCTCAGCCCCTAATGTATGGGATGGTATCACCCACATTCAGGGCAGGTCTTCCCCACCTTAGTTAAATCTTCTCTCCTAATGCTGTGTTAACTAATCTCTGATGCACTTCTCAATCCAGTCAAGTCAACAGTCAGGATTAAATACGACAAAGGGACATTGAAAGCCCCAGAAATGGAGAAGTCAAAGCTAAAATGGAGTACTAAACATATGCTTATTCTCAGGAAAGGAAGAGTTGCTATGACCAAAATCCTACGTAAAATCCACACCCTGTCTACACTGTCCTATAGAATAGCCACTGTTTACATACGGCTGTTTAAACTTAAATTTAAAAATGTTTAATTATTCATTCACTTCAGCCACATTTCAAGTGAAATTGGTCAATGCAGATTATAGAATTTTTCCATAATCATATAATTGTTCTTTTTTAAAGCACTGGTATAGAAAAACTTAGTTCATTAAGCAAATCCCAAAACAAATAGAAGGAGAGAAATACTAAAAATAAGAGCTGAAATCAATAAAATAGAAAGCAAAAAAACCATACAAAGAATTAATGAAATAAAAAGTTGGTTCTTTGAGAAAATAAACAAGATCAATAGACCCCTCGCAAACCTGACTAAAATGAGGAGAGAAAAAACCCAAATTAGTAGAATCAGGAATGCAAAAGGGGAGATAACAACAAACACCATGGAAGTCCAGGAAATCATCACAGACTACATCGAGAACCTATATTCAAATAAATTGACTACTTCGAGAACCTATATTCAAATAAATTTGAAAATCTTAAAGAAATGGACACATTTCTAGATACATATGATCATCCAAACCTGAACCAAGAGGAAATTAATCACCTGAATAGATCTATAACACAAAATGAAATTGAAGCAGCAATCAAGAGTCTCCCTAAAAAGAAAAGTCCAGGACCTGATGGATTCTCTGCCGAATTCTATCAGACCTTTAAAGAAGAACTGATACCAACCCTCCTTAAACTGTTCCACAAAATAGAAAGGGAAGGAAAACTGCTTAACACATTCTATGAAGCCAGTATCACACCTATCCCAAAACCAGGCAAAGACACCTCCAAAAAGGAGAACTATACGCCAATTTCCTTAATGAACATGGATGCAAAAATCCTCAATAAAATAATGGCAAACCGAATTCAACAACACATCAAAAAGATTATTCACCACAACCAAGTAGGCTTCACCCCAGGAATGCAGGGGTGGTTCAACATACGAAAATCAATAAACTTACTAATAAGCCACATTAACAGAAGCAAAGACAAATACCACATGATCATCTCAATAGATGCAGAAAAAGCCTTTGATAAAATCCAACACCATTTCATGGTAAAAGCTCTAAGAAAACTAGGAATAGAAGGAAAGTACCTCAACATTATAAAAGCTATATATGATAAACCTACAGCCAGCATTATACTTAACAGAGAAAAACTGAAACCATTCCCTCTAAAATCAGGAACCAGACAAGGATGCCCACTATCTTCACTCCTATTCAACATAGTACTGGAATTCCTAGCCAGAGCAATCAGGCAAGAAGAAGGAATACAAATAGGTAAAGAAACTGTCAAAATATCCCTGTTTACAGACGACATGATCCTATACCTTAAAAACCCGAAAAACTCCACTCAGAAATTTCTAGACATCATCAATATCTATAGCAAGGTAGCAGGATATAAAATCAACATAGAAAAATCATTAGCATTTCTATACACTAATAATGAGCAAACTGAAAAAGAATGTATGAAAACAATTCCATTTACAATAGCCTCAAAAAAATCAAATACCTAGGTGTAAACCTAACAAAAGATGTGAAGACCTCTACAAGGAAAACTATAACTTCTGAAGAAAGAGATTGAGGAAGACTATAGAAATGGAGAGATCTCCCAT